TGCCTTTAATAATAGTGCCCACTTCATTTTTAATAGGTCTTGATTATAAGAGGTTTCTTTGTAAATATTTCCTTTTTCGGTTAGTAAAACTTGTGCTTAGAGGTTCATTATTCTACTGGTTACGCTTTAGCACCTAAAAAGTAAAGGAAAACACTCCATATTACACATACGTTTCAGAAGGAGTCGCATGAAGCAGTACTCAAAGCAGGCACGTGGTGGCCAGATTTGTCGTTCTGTCTTTCACATCAAATGAGTTTGCCGAGTATCAGTTACCTCATAGCAAACAGTCATTTCGGAAATCCAGTTTTAGAATAAATGCAACTGCTTAAAAAGCGTCTAAGGCACCCACAGTCAACGAAAGAGGACAAAAATTCCATACCTGCATGCACAACGCGGTCCGCCACGCGTCCGCCATCTTTTCTTCTGCGCTTTTGTACCGGATCCACAACTCCTTGCGAGCTTGTTTAAACCTTCCAACTGGCTGATGGGAAGGAGACATGATGTGAAGGGACCGTGGTGGGGGTGGTGGTGGATATTGGGGGAGGGGGATGAGGGGAGGGTGTGCGGATGTGATGTAGAAAAGATGGGAAAAGCAGCAGAAATAGGTAAAGTGAGTCGAAGCGTCGCAATCAATAAACAAAAAGACCATCGTGAGACAAACGATAACGGCTGGAACCTTTTACAGAGAAGAATAATGAAAACATCGGGCCCTCCTATGTTCTTAAAGGAAAGCCCTGGCGAAGGGGTTGTGTTAATTTACATACGTAAATTTCATTCGCGTACGCACATAAAAATTACACGATATGGAAATCCACCCTTTACTCTTAAGTACTTGATCCTCAACAAAATTGCCATACAATGGACCCGAATTCTAGCCTCCCACGCAGACGTTCTTAAGGGTTCGTCACGCGTTCCTTCCCCAACGTCTGCGTGGGAGGCTACTCGAATGCTAACCCAGCTTGCTCGCAGGCTAAACAGTGTGTATGACCGTGATCCCAAGCCTACGGGCTTGCGTCCGTTAGGTTATAATTATTCTCTCATTTTGTCACAACCGTATAGGCCAAACAAACAACAAACGGTCTCCGTCACTAAAGACAGCTTTCTCTGGAGAAACCATCAGAAATCATCAGAAACGTACGTACAAATTTACTAGAAGTGAAAAGCAAAATAGTAGAAAACAAGAATAAGAACAATATCAGAGGATTTAAAGGCTACGAGTTTATAGAATATAAGTTCTTCTTCAAATCTTGAAACACTCTTTGTTCCTCTGTAAGGGGTCGATATATCAGGTCTTGACAGTTCAAGTCTTAGATATCTCCATACTTTCCTTTAAAGTCTAAGGGCTTGCTTTTCACTGCGCATTCAGGTCCCTGGGGAGTTCCAAACCTATCCACGTCAGCACCATTTTTTGTCGGCAAGATCAGCAAAGCGTCATGGGAAGCCATGGACGGATCTTCGTCAAAATAGTTGTACGGGCGTAAGAAAAAGCTGGCCGAGTTGGCAGCGGTCGCAGTGTTCGGAATATCTTCTGAATGAGGCACGTGCATCATGCCCACTGTTACCCAGGCAACCAGGTCTTCGTTCACGATGCTTTCGTTATCTGCTGTGTATCGTGCAAAATCAACCACTGGGTCATACATCCCGAATTGTGAGTAAACTGAGGAGCTTGTTTTTTCATGTTCCTTGTACTTTGTGACCGTCATCTGGTTCTTCGACCATTCGGCCCCTCTCACTAGTTGCCAGTCGTTTGGATACATCTGCTTCATCATGTCCCGTATGTGGATGCGATATCCTCGATTCACGCCAATCTTGTTCACGTTTCCCTCGCTAAAGAAATTCAGGTATTTTGGGTGGTCAAAGTTTTTATGATAAATAGCTTCCTGCTCAGTTTTCTTCAAGTTTCTTCTTACCACCTTTTGCACTCTTCGGACTCCAGGAAACCAAGGGCTTGTGATGTTTTCAACCTCGATGTCAACCGTTTCATAAGAATTTTTTCGTCCTCCTATATCCAAATCCACTTTATAGTTCAGCAAGTGATCGTGAATTGTGCCTGCTACGAATGGATGGATTTGATTGCCATAAGGAGACTCGTTTGATGTCCAGAAGGTCGCCTGTACATATCCAGAGGTCGACACTCTTACCTCCAATACGCCATTTGGGTAGAACAAGTAATCGTAAATGTAATCATAGTTGTACGCTGTTGAGACTGATCGCAGAACTAACGCGGTACCAGGCATGCCTCCGTAGAAATTGAATCCTCCGTCGAAACTGTTGTCAAAATGCCTGCGCAGTGGAAGTCCGAGATTCATCTCAAACAAACATATCGAGTTTCTATACTTGGCGGGAGCTTCTGCGTCAACAAAATGTAAGGTATCAAAGAAGGTGGCGGTACTGGGACAGTCCACACCTCGGACAAGTTCAAATTTACTGAACCCCATTCCCCAACTCGTATCCAAGTAGTCTGTGCTCATTTGCATCGGACTCCACCCTGAGTAAAATGCTGCAGCTTCCTGTAAACTGAGTTCGTACACGATTCGTTCTCCATCGAATCTGAGATCAAACAGCTGTAAACCGGTAGAGCTGCGAGAGCGGAAGTCAAAACTCCATTTCATGTACTCCACGTGACGTCCGCTGACCACGTAGCGCTTGCCATCGGGCTCAACCAATTGAGGTGGGCGCAGCGGTTTTGGAGGCTGGGGTTTACCGCGGCGGAGAAAAGTGGAATACAGAGGTGAATCATCGGATGAAGAAGGTGCTGGAAGGAATGTTTTCTGAAGAGAACCATTGCTGTAGGCGCTCATTAACTCCTCCACACTTTGAAAGGAAGTGTTGAAGTAAAATACCTTTTCCACTTTAAATAACGATGCATCACTCCCTTTGGTGTTGACATAAAACTCAAATCCCACAGGATGCAGGTAGAAACCCTGAAAATCTCTCATGAGCCAAACCCATGACTTGCGATCACCAAATTCCCCTGGTGCGGAACTAGAGTAAGTAAGGCAGCGATTTGTACACCCACCGTAGGTGTAACCATCATAGCTCTCGAACAACAGGTCATGCACTTGAGCTGTCACATTGAGAACTATCTTATCCAGCACTGCGCTCTCTTTACTGTCTCCTGGCCGGTAATCAAATGGAATCGGATATTTTTGCCCGGGGCCTCTTGTTTCATTGTGATAAGATGGTTTTCCTGCAGGACCGACTATATATTCTCTCACATCGGGATTACTTTTACCTCCATTGAAGATGATAACACGTGCTTTGCGTTCAGGCTTAGGAGCGTTTTCACTGTCGAGATAATCAATCGCCTCATCTTTGGCTGGTTGCTGTAGCTCGATCAAGTAAATGTAGTTGTCATTAATGGCAGCCTGTTGATAGGGCGTCACATTCAGCGAAGGTTGGCTGAGGATATAATCTCGCACAGCGATGATTTCTTCCTTCGATAAATCGTCGTACACACCTGCCGAGCGGGCCGGAGAAGATATTTCTAACTTTGTTGACTGTGGGCAGTCTTCAATTCTCGTGTATGGCGGTGCATCTTTGTTATCTTTTGGCGAGGATTCCGTTTTGTCAATAGTCAACACCACAATTAATGCAATAATCAGGGCTAGCGACAGCAGAGCAAGTAGAGTGCAAACAATTTTCAGGACCAAAATAGTCCTCGAAGTGTTCTCTTTTCCCTTTGCAGATTCTGATGACTGTAGGAATTTGGATGTCTCACCATCTTTAAATGCTACAGTGTCCATTTTACCGTCTGATTCCTGTTTGCGTGATAAAAGTTAAGGGATAATATATTTTGGTAGTCACGCGATGAACACAATACTGCTATCTGCATTGCAAGCATCTATGCAAATTTAATGGCATAAAAGTACGCGTTTACATAAGAATAGCAATAGGCTGAATAGAGTTCAACTCCACAGAAAATAACTTTGTCACGAGGCGGCCACTGATTTTAAATAATAACTGTTTATTCACAAATCCAAATCGGAAAGTGAAAAGGAAATAAAAGAGGTTATCCCTTTCTAGTTTATCTCCCGATAATAAAATACATTAAGAAATAAATTATTTACAACTCTCTGGGGATTTAAAAAGCTTTCTTTCACGGCTAACCTCAATCTCTCTACGAGGCCAGCCATGCATAAACAAAGCTCTCCTGAGACAAAATGGCCGCCGCGAGACAAAGGTCTAATGGTTTGGAACACTATCACGACTGCTGTGACGTCATGTAATAGCTATTCTGAAGGCCAATTTTCAGTGCAAGCTCCGGTGGTAACTTTGGGCTTGTGTCTTGACATGTTTTAAGGTGACCCGACCCAGTTTCTTTGGGGGGTACCATCCTACTTTGAAGCTCTCTGGTATCCCCACCTTTACTTTTATCGTAAGTCTAACACATAGATGGCGATCGGAGTAAATGTCACGTGGTTATAATGCCACGCCCCTTTGAGGTCAGAGTCGAAAATCTGCTGTTGCCGGCATTTTTTCGTGAAAATCTCTCGGCTACGCATAGTGCGCATTAGTGCCTTGCGCTGAACAGCGTTTCACCAAAATCGCAATGACCCAATTCGAGAAATTCAGCGGTTTCCAAATTTAGGTCATAATTTATGCGAAAATGATAAGCAAACTTTATGACTGTTACAGTCAAGTCAATATTTTTAAAGAAAGCGTTTGTATCCGAAAGAAATAACTTTTAGATTCGCCTATTTTTGTTTTCAAATTTTGCGGGCGTCGCCATCTTGAATAATTGTGACGTGTTATGGTTGCCCTATTGTTATTAAACAAAAGCTCTTTGTGTCAGAACAATAGAGCAACTGTAACACGTCACAATTATTCAAGATGGCGGCGCCCGCGAAATTTGAAAGTGAAAATAAGCGATTTTAAAATTCACTTTTCCTGATATAAACACTTTTTTTAAGGACAAATTTCGAACAAATTTGTTTATCAACATAATTTTATTCGATTTAAACTTATTCTGTAGTAAGAGTGGAGGTTCCCTTTAAATTGACTACTCTAAAACCGGTCTTGTAGCTGCGGTGATCGACAGACTGACAGATAAAGTGGCCCCAAGCGCGTTCTGCAGTTGCAATGTTTTGAGTCAGGCTGTATTATAGAGCATTGTAATCACGGAAACTATTATTCATGATTATTTAACACAGTCACGAAGAGTATGAACACGTGACAGTGGCTGCTCAACAAGTGAAAGTGATAGGTTTTCCAGTCGGCTTGATTGCTTATAACGGTTCATACACCGTATTTCACATGAGCCCAATCGAATTCAAGGAAATAAGTTATTGTGAAATCTATGCGTTGCCTGAATCAATTCGCAATGTCTAAATGAATTTGGATCGGCTTAGCCATTCTTCATGCCTGGCTCAGCCGGTTTTGTTACGACGCCGAACTTCAAATGAGCCGAAACAAATGAATAAATTCAAGTAACGAGGTTTACCGAATTGGGCGTTCTTTCTTTTCCAATTTAGCTCGGCTGCAAAGAAGATCGGCGTCTGAGTCAATTCAGCCGGCCTTTTGAGTCTGCCTAAATTCGAATTCGAACTGGCTATGGCGTCCGAACCGGGCCTTAGTTGTAAGAGGAGGTACGTCGCGTGACGAAACAAAAGAAGGGGCGCGTGTGAGACTACAAGTTTTCAGCCTGTATAATTTCTTTTCCCAACTGCTCTAGTTCTGTTCATTCCTGCGAAGAACTGTGATGCAATTCCAAGTAATGGCTATCTTACGTAAGAGTCTGTGGACCGTGTAACTTTCCACGACCTGATTTCCGCATGCGCTAAGTCGACAAGGAAGGGCGTTTTCCTGGCCCTGTCGAACACGACCTTATTTAGACACAGGAAGCCCAGCACAGCCCAGTTTGTTGGATTTGTCTATTAAATACTAGTTGTTGCCGTTCGCTGCTGTTCAATTACATATTTTCTTAGGGTACATCTGAGTTTACAACAATGCAATGTTTTATAAAATTCCATAAAAGTTTCTCTACTTGAGTTTTTCCAACTCATCAGGCGTAACTTTTAAAAGTCATGTGTTAACCATCAAATGCCCAGAAAGAGGAAGGTTTGCCACTGAAGTCTCTTTCGCGTTTCACGAATGACGAGAATGAAGACACACAATTACCGATAAAATGATCCGCTCTGCCAAGAATGGCAAGATCCAGCTGAGGAAGCCATGGGTTTAAATGGAAAACTTGCACCTGAAAAACAACCAGACATATTAAGAGCATTGAATAACTAGCCTGGGCAGTAGAAAAAGTAGTGAATCTTTCTTTTTGATCCTCTTTAAAAATTTAGTAACATCTGTTGACTTGAAGAAGGCTGGTCTGGCCAGCCGAAATATCGTTTGAAACAGTTTTCAATAGAAAGGAGAAGTGTGACGTCACGTTGCCATGGTAGCAAAACTTCAGGGCTCAGTTTTTTGAACGCGGGTTAGCGCTAAACCGGGGTTAAATTTTAACCCGGGTTTCTTTTTCTTTTATCAAAAGCACTCCCTCGGATAATTTTCTCTATTTTTTTTTAGCGTATTCAATCATCAAATTGTAGACAAAGAGAATTCAACTGAATTGGCTTTTCAAGCTCTCATATCTGAGTTCAAAATTTGCACTAACGCTGGGTTATCTTAACCCAGCTTTGAACAACCCAGCCCAGGATCACAACAAGACGGAGCTTAACAACGACGGCGACGGCAACGAAAACGGCAAAAAAGCAAGAGGTTTTTTGTAGCAGCAAAACAACAACTTTGCACGTGCATAACGCTTTTTTCTTAGCATTCGTTGCACAACTGCGACATTAAATTTCCCAATTTCACGCGCCCGCTTTATGGCGTAGGTGAACATGACACAAAAACTGAGTTTTTTCTTTACTTAAGACACGGTCCTTTCGGATTCAACCCCAGAAAATTTCGACAACATTTGACAAATTAAATGAAATTGAATAAGATGGGTAAAGATTGAAATAGTGCGAATTCACCTTTTACGTTTTCGGTTTGTTGTCATCCAGAAATTTTGCTACCATGGCCACGTGACGTAACGACTTCTTCTCTCTATACACGTAGCTAGTCACAAGCAAATGCAGACGTATTTCCGGTATTCGCTTCTCCCAACAGAAAAGTAACTTTTCGGGTGAAAACGTTGGCGGTGCGCAGTCAAGATGTGTTGATTTGCGGGACCAACATATGTTTTGAAAAAATCCAATTTTATTATGTTGGTCCCAATACAAAACACTTTCAAATTCTGTGTGCATGGTCTTTTTTCTTAAAGAGGGTAGCAAAATGACTTTCTTGTCTTAAACAGGGACAGGCTTTTGAAGGCCTCAGCGGTACACCCTTGACCCCTACCCAAAGTTCCAATAATTGACCCCCCCCCCCCCCCCTGCCACCTCTCTGGGAAACACGCTTCTTTCCACGTAAACTCAACATCAACTTACGTTGAGTCCTTTAAGTCTGGAATTCAGTTCTGTCAACATTGGGTCATAATCGGTAGCAACAAACACAGCTTTTGCGCCCAGGTTTTTGACAGCTTCCTCTGTGCGATTAAGAATGTCTTCCTTTGGTGGGAAACAAAGATTCCTTGTGACTGTTCTGTAACGTGAGTATCCCAGACACTGAGGCGACGCCATGTAATGGGGTATACCCTCTGCGTGGTCACAAGCATTTTTCTGACAAAAAAAGAATGAAACAGGAAACATTTTGCTTACAGTTTCTACGTTTTACTCCTTACTAGTTAGATACAGTTGACTGTTACACTCTTTCAGTCAGCTACATCAAACATTAAAGAATTTGAGTTGAAGTGCTTTTTAAAAATTCGTTTTCTCCTTTAGCTTTCAAATACTGATTTTTACTAGCGAAAGGGAAAAAATATGATTCAAAAATGGTTGTCATACCCAGTCAATTCCATTGCGCAGATGAATTCCAATAAATGGTCCTCTCGGCAAGGTGTTGTGAATATAATCGTCTACCTCCTTGCTAATCTTGTCCGACCACTTTAGAAAAGCATGTGGCTGGCGATTCTGCTCCTCTACTGGAAAACTTGCTGGTGCGCCTCTGAAGGCAAGAACAGGATGCTTTGAGGGTGGAAATCTGGCACAGAAGAGAAGATGAACTTTTCAGCACCATTCTTTTAAAATATAAATGCCTTATTGACCGAAGGTGAGGTCATCCGGACGTCAAAAAGTCGGATATAGGCCGGGTATTTTTCATTGCGTTCTTATGGACCAAGACTGAAAACTGGAAATTACGGCAATGTAACACGGGTCGATTCGCAACTAAGCCGGATTTTCAGCGCATTACAACGTTGAAACATTTTTGATACATTGTTTCGAATTGTTCGGCATAGAAAACGTCGTGGCAAACCGTCTCGAGTAAAGCTACGAGCAAACGGACGCAATTGTTGAGAGTCACTGTTATTGGCCAACAATGTTGCGTCCGTTTACACGGGGCTTAACATTACCCCTGCTGTATAATGAGCTATTCCTTTCATACGTATGAGCTGTTTAAATAATGACTGAATTTTTCATGCGTCGGCAAATTCTCCTTATTACTACCAAAAAGAAATGTATGGAGAAAATGCATGTTGAAGGAAAAGAAATTGAATTCAAGAATTTAAAAAAATACTTACTCCTTCTTCCACTGGTCTCTCTCATAAGGGTCGTGTACCCGAATACCAAGATGATAGACAATCTTTTCTTCAAAATCAACTCCGAGTTCATCCCAAAATGGTTTGAAAGGATTTCCTTCCTGCGGTTGTGAAAGTTTAAGCCTGAAGTCACCTATTAATGTCTTTTCTATGAATGTGTCATTTAAATTTCTGTTTAACACTGTTGTCTGTTGTAACACAAACAAACAAACAAACAAACGGGGGGGGGGGGGTGGCTTAGTACTCAACAAGGCTTTATATAGGAAGGCTCCGTCCCAAGGCCCAAACCCTTAAACTTGTTGTATACCACTTTTGGCCAAAAAAATTTATCTCTCTCGTATAACTTCCATTGCAACATTGTGCCCCTTTTATAAAACTACTAACAGTAAAGTATTCTTTTCGTTATTTCAAGCGTTTAACAGATAATAATGATACTAGCCATAAGGTTCGTCTGTTCGACATATTTTAATAAGGCCCCTAAAATAACTAAATGACATACTTTCCTACCCTTTCACCCTTTCATATAATTGCACTTAAGATATTCCTACCAGGGGCGGATCCAGGATTTTAACAAAACTGCGTGCAAACTTGGCCATATCTCCTGAATTTGTGACTGCAAGCAGCTATATTTTATTTCATTTAACTTCTTTTGTAATTTTCAGAATTATAATTCCAGAAAAGATTAATGTTTCCAGTTATTTATTTGTAAGCCATGCACTTGACCTGTCAAAATGACCGACCAACTGAAAGTTTGTCTGGACAAATCGTCATCCTGGCCAGACATTGTCCAGTAACCGGTCATTATTTTGAGCCCTAGAGTGGGGACTTGCATAAAAAGGTAATAAAGTATAACAACTGACCCTGTTGGATGGTACAGTCCTTTACCTTTAGAACACATTTGGCATTAGATCCAGGAGGTAGCCAGCAGTAGCCACGCCTTTTTTCTTTTGGCCAGTGAGTAGGTGCTAGGTGCTTCATAAAGTCTTCTGCTAAGATAACTCTGTGATATGACTGGAGAGGCTCTACTTGAAAAAAATCTGAGAAAGGGACATTTTTCTGTGGAAAAAAAAAACAGAAGAGATCATAGTACTCGCTTGTTGGCAAAAATTTAAATAAAATAAATATTATAAAATGGTTTTTTTCTTATGCGGTATATCATTGAATGCAAGTGATATGAGTAAAATTTTATTTCCTTTTATTGAAGAAGTACTATAAAACTCACAGTTTCATGCCAGATACATGTTTCACTGCAAATCTTTGCAAGACTCTCACTGGAGTTTTGGAATAAGTGTGGACTAATCTAACGTCAATTTCAGCCTTCTCTTAGTGTCACACAATCCAGAGTGTGTGCCTCAAGAAAATGGCTCATAATTCAGAAAACAATTTATCAACACTGATTCAAATCAGCATTGGAATTGGCTAGAAAGGGAGTGGAGACTACAAAATAGGAAATACATATTTGCAAAGTTAAAATCATCAAAGGCTAGTACTCTTGTCGTAAATAAAGTTATAAAATAATAAACTAATAATACATGACTTTATACACACCCTCTACCTGCCATATATTGATTTGTGAGTGCCTGGATGGCTCTGTAATAATTATAACAATAAATTATAATAGATGTAGATGAGACTGGGCCTCTGACCAAATAGAATTTACAGATGACAATGAATACTTCATAACATTTGAGAAGAAGAAACCTTGAGATGTTAGGTGGTGTTGCAGTTTATCCTCTTGATTAGAATGGAAATCTTTAAGACCTTCCTTAGTGGATTTGTACACATCATATTGAATATTAGTGTGACAGCTTGACGATTTCCGGAGATCTTTTAAGGAATCATTTGGTGACTCTTTTAATGAATTTAGGAGAACTGTTTGGCACTGAGTAAATTTAATAGAGGGAGGACAAATATTAAGACCAAATTTATTGTGTTCTGGGAAAACATTGCTCAGTGTTCCAGATATCAGAATATCAAGCCATTTTCGAATATAGCCATTCACTACAGAGTCGAGATGTTCCGTTATCCAGGTTTTGGATATATTAGCTATAGTGAAATGCCAGGACAATTTAGAAGTTTGTGAAGAAGTTTGTGTTTAGGATGTAGTAGTGGTGGGCCGATGATCGATTATAATCGAAAGTTGATCGAAAAGTTCAAGCGACGCGACAATCGATTATGCTTTTTTCATAATCGATTGTCGCGAAAAAATTAAAAATTTATTGGTGACAAATAAAAGTATTAAAATCAATAAAAATGTACGTGTAATATCTTGGTGCAAGTTGTCTTTTTCGTGGACTTCTAACTTCTAAGTCATAACAGCTGATATAATCTAAGATTGAAGGTGTTTACCTTTGTGTACCCTGCGCACTGTGTTGTTGTCACTTCAAATACACCATGCTTATTTGAAAGATGTGGCATGCTAAGCTGCTTTGTATTTCGTAAACAACTGAACCAAAACATAAATTACAAGCTCACTGTTTCGCGTTTGTAGTATCACTACTATCACTAGCGAATGAAAGGTATTATTGAAGAAACAACATCGCAGCGATTTCCAGGGTCCTCTCTCAGACCTGCCTCCCTTACATGTTGCTGACGAGTCTAACATGGCGGCTGAAATGGCCGAGTTGGAGATCTGTCGTTATCCTGGAAACGCCAGGTCAAACGTGCGGGAATATTTTGGTTTTTATCAACTGAAGGAAGGGCCCAAAACAAAAGAAAACTTGGATGTGACGAAGGTAATCTGTAGGCTCTCCAGAAAGAAATACGCCAACAAAGGTTTGTGGCACGTGTGTTTTTTTGATTTCTTGTCAGTCTCACTTGAACTGCTGCAATGTAATCTTGGAATGCTTACTGGTAGATTTTTCCGATTATGATCGACGATCGATCGATTGGAGCAATCCAATTATTTCCGATGATCGATTGTGAAATCTCAACCGATTCCCACCACTAGGATGTAGTGGCTTTATATCAATGTCATTCATCAAGTCTTGTACAAGAGAGGACAATTCAGACATGTGTTGGTTGTAATAATAATAATAATAATAATAATAACAATAACAATTAATGGAAAGTTTATTTGTGTTTTTGAATGTACAATTGTAAATCTCGCTATGTATAGGCAAATTACAAAAGCTGCTTGAGATTGGATTATTCAAAAAACAAAAGAAAGAAGGAAAGAAAAAAGAAAAGAAAAGAAAAGAAATCAAAATTGCATGTAGTCTGGGCTATCCCAATTTCTATTTCTACATAATAATAATAATAATAATAATAATAGCAATAATAATAATAATAATAACAATAATAATGATAATAATAATAACAACAACAATAATGAATGCGGCAGATATATAAATGCCACAACAATTTTGGTGGTGATAGGAGTCCTGGAACAATAAGAAAGGATTGGAGAAAAACATCCAACATGTTCCCGGGTAAGCTCAAAATGCATCAGCTACAGAAGAACACACTCCTTGGATCAACATCTCCCATCCTAAGAAGGACACTTCTCTATCAAATAGACTTGTGTTTCATTCTAATCGGTTGGCCCTATAAAATAATGGACGTGGCTATTTATGTTGTATTATTAATGGTTGTATAAAGTTAAAGAAGATAGTCATATAACAATAATAATAATAATAATAATAATAATAATAGTAATAATAATGATGATAATAATAATAATAATACCCATCATGATTGGTGCACTTGGAACTATCTCGGGGAATGCAAAGGCCTGGAATGGGAGGTTGAGTCTACCAGATATTTTTGGAAGTGCACAGTTGTCAGCCATCCTTGGGACTGCCCATTGCAGAAAGTGTTATGTCTCTAAGCTTTGGGATTGTTGCTGAGGCATGACTGTCCCCAGAAAAAGAACTAGAGAGGATCACATAATAATAATAATAACACACACAGATATATTATAATAGTACTCGGTATGCCTTTGAAGCCCTGAACTACATTTCTATTATTAACAATAATTTTTTTTCCTTGAGCCCGAATGGACTCTGAGTCAATAGAATATGAGGCTGAAGGCATTGTTTTGGTTTTCAGACAGCGCTTTTCACTACTAGTGGGCTATTACATAGCCTACTAGTGGCTCAACCAATCAAAACGCAGCATTGATAACCACTAGTTGGATTTTACTAACATTTCATTTATTGCCTGTGAAAAGTTGACTACTCTTCAGAAAAGTTATTTTAATGTGCAGTTCAGAAAAAATATCACTTACATATGTTCTCCAGGGTGGAAGAATCAATGTTCTGTCAAGGGCCTTAGCAAATGCTATTGCTCCCAGAAAGTGCTCAGCTTGATTTCCAAACCTCCCTGTTTATCAAAAAGAGATCAGTCTTTAAAGGATGAAAATTATGTGGTTCAATTTATCCTTGGGTTAAATTTTATTTCCCTTCATTTGTTTCAACATACTGATTATCTTATATTATGATACCATACCATTGGATCAGCTCATATCCTCTGAGCCCCAACAGATACTGAAACTATAAGCAATGCTGATTTATATCTGTGGCACATTTAGGGGAAGTCAGAGGGAGACATTGACCCTCCTTTACTTTTAAACCAAAACTAAAGCTTACAGATGCTTTGTTTACATCTCAAGGGCATTCCCCACGCCTTAACTCAAGGTCTGAATCTGTGACTTGTTATATAAAGTGGAGCCTTAATTCAGGAGACAATCTTATTGTGACCTGAGTCCCCTGAATAAAAGCAACTGATAAATGTATAAAGAACTTTTGGGGGAGGGGGGGGGGGGGAAGAAAAGTTAGGGTTGCTTAAAGGGGAGGCGCCCCAAAAGTGATGTTTCACTGGATTAATTAACTCTCCTCCGCAAATAATAACTACGAGTCATCAGAGACAAACGGCAAAAAGTATTTCTCGAAGGGCAAGTATTGTCCCTATATATGGGCTTTATAAATGTAAGCTTACCAGCCAGTTTTTTTTTTAAGAGTTACAGACGAATTGTAAACTTTCGAGACGAGGGCAACAACGCAAAACGAAAAGGCAATTGGGAAACGAGAGATACGAGTATGAGTTGAATACCGCATTAAAATGACTTAGTTTTGTTATAAGCTTAAGTTCTTAAAAGCTTAATAATTATTAATATCAAAATGTAATTCTTACCCATGCAAGGACAGTAAAACACGTAGCCCCGAGGATCCCATTTGAAATTAGATGAATTGCTTTCATTTTCTGAGGTGGTTGCCCGGTTGAGCACCAGAAAAAAAGAATAAAAGTTTAAAAAGAAATTAACCAGTTCAGCTTTCATGTCATCGGCAACAGAAAAATCATAATTCCAGCTGGGTAAATCTATTTCGAACGTGAAAACCGCTGAACAGATTGCAGCTTCACTTTTTCCCTAATCAAATATGGCGGCGAATTGAAATAATGGCAGCTAGCTGTTTCAAAGCTTTTTATTTTTGGTAGCTGCAGCTGTGCTGTCGGTTGAGCTTAGGTTGTGTTCACGGATAGAGACTTCACTTGCACTTGGGTATTTTTTGGGTGGGTATGTGCCGCCCGGGACTCCAAATTGGCACCCCATTCTAAAAAAAATCCCCCTAAAATTGATACCCCGTTCTAGAAATGGGCCAATTTTTCATATTCCATTCTAGAAAGTTTGTATTGAAATAGCCCTGTTTCTTTAAAAAGTGGGAGGCACATACCCGTATAGGTAATGTATGGGAGTACCCCCCCCCCCCCCCCCCATATCGTACGTGCATAAAGGTTGTACTGGAAAAGTCCGCTTTTTCGACTCTTCTGATATTTCATTTCATTTCTTGCGAAGTGGGCCGCCGTACAAAGCCAGTTCTTCTCTCTAGTATAAGGAAAATCCTTTGTACTTATCCTCGAAAGAGAAAAGATATAAGAGTTATTCAAAAGTTTCAGATCGGCGACCTGTCATCGTTCCTGGCTGGAGGGCTGCCTTGCATCCGGCGCGGAGATTTGTTTGTTTCATGGTCAGGTTGAAGAGAGGACCAGACTTCATAAAGCATTTTGATGAACAAGTCTATTTCAATTAAGTTCAATTTGTTTAAATTCACTGCAGATCCTGGAGGCAAAGGCCTGCATTTTTGTTTGACATTGGAAAAAATCACTTTCCGCTTGATCGTACAGTAATTCCGCAGTCACGATGAAGTTTAGTTGAAGTACTAGTCGATAACAGTGGGACATAACAGCTTGTCTCAACGCTGAAGCATTTGACATATTTTGTACGTGACAACGTAGAGCCGGTATGCCCTTTCATAAACTTCTAGCATTTGAATAATGCGCAATTAAATGGATCTTAAGCTTTTGAAGCTCACAACTGTAAGATGGCCCATTATCAAATAATTTAAGACTATATTACTGGCCACAATTAGCGGAGCTATTCTAGGTGGGAAACAATACAAGTCATAAAATAATTGTCTCCTATAAAGTCGGCAAAAGAAAGTAAGTAACAGGGGCGGATCTAGGGGGAGGGTGCAGGGGGTGCGCACCCCCCCTGAGATGACCTGCGGTTCTCTAATACAACTGGTATTCTGCAAAAAAAAAAACTATGTGGTTTATTGGTGTTGAAGTAGAGCAAGAGACGGGTGCACCCGCTCCTAAAAAAAATCCTGGATCCGCCCCTCAGTAAAGAGAAAGCAAAAATAATATAGATTTAACCAAGGCCAAGTGCGAAGCTCTCGAAAGATGCTTTAGGGCCAGGAAATGTCTTCCTCAATTACTGATTATACTTTGGCCGTAAGCAGAATGAATTCTACCTTTAAAATAATTGACCTGTGCCCGCGATCAATTAAAAACGAACAACTAGTCAGCGGATAACTTTAAAAAATAAGTTGTATACCTGAGCCCGCAATGCAGTCATGTGACACTGGTCGGCGGATACCTACCCCTTTTCTTATTTTTGACAAAATATAGCCTATGTGGTGCCTCTAAGAGAGCTTACTATCAATCAAAACACCGAGGTATTTCACTTTAAATGTGTTTGTTCAAGAGAAGTCAATGGTAGACTTTACAACTAGAGCCTAAATAAGCTAAGAAATATTTCAAGACAAGTAAATTTTAATTACTTCAAGTAAAATAAAGTTTAAAACACAACCGATTCTTTTTTACTTCAGGTTAACTTAAGGCTATTTTCCCAAGCAACATAATTACGATTGATTGACGTGTTTCCCCTTTCTCAAACCTCAAGAAACTGCAAGTCAGCTAAGTCGGTTTTAAGGATGGTTTTCAAGTCGCTTGAAACTTTCTTGAATCGTTTCAACTTTCCGAGTTTAATGAGATGCAATGTAAAATTACTTGAGATTTTACTTCGGCCTTCGCACAGCCATTTTCTTTAAGTCATTGTCATACATATTTAACGTTACGTTGTAATCAGAAGATTTTTCGAGATGCGGGATATGAATTATTTGAAGGCTGGGATTCGGGATTTTAAAGAAAAATGGGGGGTGGGGTGGGGGGGCGGGTATGGGGATTGAAAGTATGCGCGGGATGGTACCTCAAGCATTCTTTCGAAATGCTGGTTGTCGTGAACACCAAAGGTGGAAATGTCCCATGCTCAATGTCGAGAACTCTCTTTCAGTACAGGCGCTTTTTCTCCTTCTCTTGCATACGATATATCTGTTCAGTGTTGTGGCTCTAGAGACCAAATATTTTTTACACGAATCGGCCTTTTATCCAGACAAAAGCAGTGAATCCGCTGAGCGAAACCGAATCTTTTTTAATCCGCGTTCCAGAGTGGTTAAAGGGCTGGTCCAGGCCCCACACCAAAGAATGCCAATCATTGGTGCTCCCAGAACCCTGGTGCATCCAAGTCGCATTTTTAGCAATAATTGAATTCTGAAGAATTAAGTTGATCGAGGAGGGTCGAAGAGTGTATTATTCGCTGAGAGCTTTAATCGTCCTCGATTCTGCATAATTGTTTTATTATTCATTCAATTCATAGATTTAGCCAGGGCTAAAAGCGAAGCTCCCGGTATTATACTTCTAATTTACTCAAATGAAAATAAAATTGTGTAATGCCAAACGGCGACGGCAGCGAGAAAGGCAAAAAAACCGATAGGTCTAATAGGAAAAAAAAAACAACTTTGCACGTGCAGCACACTTTTTTGTACATTTCTTTGCTGTTGTAAAACAGCCGACATTTGGCGACGCTACTACTGGTTTCCCCACCAAATGACGTCTGTGAAACGAGCACAAAAATTCCATACTGATGACGCGTCACTACCCAGATCTGGGTAGTGCTTCTGATTGGTTGAATCAAATTTCCCACGCGGCACGACCAATCAGAAGCACTACCCAGATCTGGGTAGTGACGCGTCATCAGTATGGAATTTCTGCGCTCGTTTCTCAGACGTCATTTGGCGGGGAAACCACTGGTAGCGTCGCCAAATGTCGGCTATTTTCTCAGTGTTGTTGGGACAACAACGCGAAACTTCCTAGTTCACCTTTAGGCCTTGTTTACAAGGAGGGAGGGTAACCCTGGTGTTAGGGTTACCCTAGCAAGAGGGTTTACCCTAGGTTACCCGCACATTTTTTCTTTTTTTACGCGACGTGTTTACAAGGCAGGAAGGGTTTAATACCCTAGCGCTAGGAAACTTAGAAACTTCAGATTGAGAAAAACAGTAAAAGGTTTGCTATCAAATATTAATATGACGAAACCAAAAGGAAAGCACAGTTCTCCACTTGACGCCTGTAGTTTTTGATTACTTATACGGCATTGAGCTGTACCGTAGGTCTCTTTTAATGTCTCAGACAGCCGGTTTTAGCCTTTTTCATAGTAGTTCACAGACATCCTATGTGTTGTCACGTTACGATGGTGGAGAGGATTGTGTGACCAATCAAATGGACCTCTACATAGGCGGGTAGGTCAACTTTATAGCTTTCACTTTTGATAGCTAGAGAAAGAGAAAGGAAACGAATAGTGTTGAGTAAAATTATGTTAACGATGATTATTAGCTCTTTTCCGTAATAAGGCCCATGTGGAAACGTCGAACATTTCATGGACTGACCGACCCAATCCCTTCAATCAAGTAAATGAAAAGATCGAAAACCGACCTATCTAATCCGGGTCAACGCATGAATTGAGTGGCCCACGAGGGAATTTCGACTTTGGAGACACTTGCTTTTTAAAAACGTCGAACTCTCAGCTGGAATCTAATGCCTTCATTGTACATCGTGGGATTGGAAATGAATTGAATCCGTCTATGGGTTGATCCAGGCAAATAGGTTTTCTCTGCTGTAAAGAGATAATAACTGGATAGTCTGGATAATTGTTCTCTCCCTCTTGGATCATATCGGTGCATGAAACATTCGATTGGGCATAATGCGTTTCCGTTTACGTCACCAGTAACCGGAATCACCGTGTCAGTACTAAAGGGGCTTCCCCGAGCAAAGTTAGTTATCATACATTCATTTAATGCGGTATTTATGTACCTGGCTTATACATTTCTTCTACTCTCGCTACTCGTTGCATCCAGTATGTCTTCAGGTTAGTCTATTTCCGAGTAATTGTTTTGGTTTTCCATCGGGTAAAGTACTTTCACTAATTATCACTTTTACTATTTTTTCTACTTACGAGTGAACATTTGTTTATCGGCGTATGTCAGTTCCGCGGAAGCTTTTTAATAGACTCCAAAAACATTCAGTCCAACTTCCTAGGTTCTACTAGGCATAGATTGACAAAACTGATCAAAACACGCAGAGTTAACTCTGTAAATACGATCTTGGTAATAGATTGCTCTTGATACAAAGTCTTGACTGAAAATAGAATGCAACTCTGTTATGGAGCAGACCCCCGGCCGAGAACTGCCCGTATGTGCCTTATAAACGCTCTCTTCATGATTCAATAGAGCAATACTTTCATACATTATTTATTTACGGGAAGTTCATTGCTTGGAGGAGAGAAAGTTAATCACACAATATTTTGCCAGTTTGGCACGCACCGAAATGCATATTTGTGAAATCAGTGGTGCTAAGTATCGGGTGTGCAGTACAAGAAATATTAAGGAAATACGGTACTTATACCACTACTTAAAATTGCACTGGTGTTAAGAGTTTGCTCATGTATCGTCTGACACAAATTGATAATAAAACTTTGAGTGCCTACTATAATCGTATCTTAATTTGAATTGTTGCTGGAGTGATTATCTAACATGAGTTGTAGTTATAAGTTACAGACTGTAAATGGTGTTATAACATTATAACTCTTATTCAGGATCTTATATTTTCTTGATAAATAACTCTCACATGTATTCAGGATTACAACAGCAAAATTAAATCCATGCCCGACTCAACTGGTTTGTATTAACTGACAGTTTTTTGAGTCATTCGATAACTTTTATAAAGTACACCCCTTATTAAAGAGCCCATTTTCATGATATGCTTAAAGGAGCTGTGTGACGAAATTCAGCCAAATTAGGAAATTACAAAATGCCCGTTAAATTAAGAGAAACACAAAAATTAGCGCTTAAAACTTTAAAGGAAGGTTAAAGTAACATAACAGAAACAACAGATGCCACGGATGGGCAAAACTGAACAAGACTGAAACGGATTGAATCAGGGTTTTTGCAAACTGTTCAGCCTAAAAGTTTTCAAAGTTGATCCCTGCTGCTTGCAACTTCAAAAATAATGCTCAGGAGGCATATTTGTTTGTCACGGATCTCTGATTTTGATTTTACATGAATTTTTTAGTTCCTTAGAATAAAAAATTAAACAAAATGAAAACCATTTCCCTTTACGATGAAATCGGGTAAAAAGGAAAACCATTTCTACGAGAAATGGGAAAAAGGTGCTGGCAGGGAAAAATCCCGCATAGTTTGTTTTTGTTTGCTTGACTAGTTTTTCATTTGATTAACCTCTAACCCCGGATAAACACTGGAGCAGCATTTGCATTCAAGTCACACAAGAACGAAATGAGATCTTAACACTGATCATATTAAATTCCCTCTTCCTTTCCAACAAACAATCATGCAATGTAATACTGTAATGTATACTTTTATCCTATTTCGTAGGCTCTTGTGACAGTTCTGAAGTAACTTCAGATGATTATGGTGAGTACATACGCCATATTTGGTCTGAGTTGGGTTTCTTTTCAAGGCTCTACTCTTCTCTGAAAGGGCTGTCTTAACGGCGGGTACTCTACCCTGCGTAGCAAGCGTTTCCATATTGTTTCGGAGAAAAGAAAGGCAGAGGAACGGGTTTCTCGGGTTTTTGGCCGCGCGGGAAATGACCTTCCCGCTTACTCGCGTCATTTTTCGCGCGGTCTTTGACTCTCGCTCCTCGTTTTTTGTTCCGAAACAGCACGGAAACGCTTGCTACGCAAGCTACGGGTACTCTTCGGGTACTCCGTTTCACGTTATCCTCTCCTCAAATACTGACATGATGTTTAAATGCCAGTTTCACTCTTGAAAGTGTTGTAACTAGTTGGGGACACCGATAGAGGGTCACAGCTATATCAGTTCTTGAAACCGTCAAGTGTCCCCTCTTCTAATTAAAGTTACTTAGTTTTTCCTTTTACTTTGTTTTGTTTTTTTGTTGTTGTTGTTGTTGGTTTGTTTTTCGTAATACATCATCTTTAGTGATATATATAAAAAATCTTTATCCAAGAATCAGAAATTTGTAGATGATCACATTCCGAGCAAAGCCTCCTTTTGCCTTTTTTCGCCGAAATCGAGCAAGTTAAGAAAGGCTCTTCTGGCAGGATGATGGATGATACAAGTGTTTCTTCAAAGTTAATCTCGTTAGCCATCAGTGTAGGCAGTCAGATACCGAACCTTTTGAACTTACTACTTAAATTGCGGCTCTTCTCGTAGCGAGCACGTTGTGAACTTCTGCCAAACAGCACATCACGCAAATGTTTCTATCCTTTTACGAAAAAATTGTTGTTGACTAATATTTAAATTTTATGTTCCAGATGACGTTTCTTGTAGGACTGGGAAAGAGACTGATACTCGAGTTATCAGAAACTTCAACGTCCGCCTAGAAAACATTGGTGGAGATGTTGTTGTTGGAGGTCAATCGGCACAAAAATTCCGTAGTCGGAAAAAAAAAGGTATTTTATGCGAAAACGAGTAACCCAAACAAACATTTTATTGCAGGAGGAACGAGAGGGCAAGTCAGAATTGTGAAACGAAAACTTAAACTGGGAAAGCCACAGCTTCATTCGACGCGACGGACACTTATCATAATAAATATATATAACCTGGTTTTCTCATGTTTGGCCATGGACACCTGTAGTATAGAACTGTTGCTTCCCCCTTTTGATAGGAGGCCATTCTATCACTAGACTGCAAAACAGCCCGTATTTTTCCTGCAGTTCAAGCACGCGAGAGTCCTGGACTAGGGGTGCCTTCGCTTCTTGCGCGCTACGGGCGAAAATCTCACGCGAGCGCCTTGAAATCGATTTTGAGGAAAAAACCGACTGTTTTCCAGTCTATTTTATCACAGGATCAATGGGTGGCGATATTTTATATTTATATATACACCTGAATGAATGAAAAACCTATGGTAGATAGCTGGCCTTGAAGCGATGAATCTTTATAACCAATGTACCTTATTCAGATAGATCAAAGGAACGTTTTAAGAAAAAGAAACGCTACCGATATATAAGCAGTTCTTGAGCTGAGCGAGGGTATTTTAAGCCAATTCAGCTATAACTGAGTTTTGGGTACTTCGATCCTCCCAGGTGGCGAGGACCCTGGGCTACCAAAACCAAGCTCCAACACAAACCAGCCTTCAGCCATATCGGCTAAAAACTCTTCCTCTAAAGAATCCAGCAAACATGAACGAGCCGAACAACGTACACGTTTCATTCAAATCGGCGAATATATCCCAGGGAGCTATTGTCAAACGACTGGTGACAGACGGCAATATGTGCAAGAAAAAGAAACGTGGAATCCAAAGCCAGATAAATGCATCTTCAAAAGTAAAGGTAAAGTGACAATTTCGTATTAAGTTTTTAAACTTTATTTAGAAATTGAAAAATCTTTTCTATTATTCTTAATCCTTTTCAATGGTGGTGTCCGTTCTCGTCGTTATCAACACCATCTTTATTACCAGTAATTTCACCGATCCGAAATTCATGGATTTTGCTTAGGTGCCATTTTTGACTAACAAATCAAAATGAAGGGGATTTGCAGAACATTGCCAAAACTATAGGTAGCTATAAGGGGCTTGACTCACGCAAAACAGTTTCTTGAATCTCTAACTAACTCAGCGACAATACTTTAAAAGGTTTGATCGGAAGAACAAGCAACTACCGTTTACCTATTTTATCAAAGATGTAGAGCAAGGCCATCCAATCTTACTCTTCAATTTGAATTTATTAAAAGAAAGGAATTTTTGAGCACATACCATGCAAGTGCAATCCATTCCTCTTCCGATCACACGCTACAAAAGCACAAACTTATCGTCTTGTAAAAATATGGACTTGTACATGGTACTTTATTCTTAGGCGGGTTTCGTATAGCAGATACATGTGTCCTTTGCGTTTTCAAGGTGGTACTAAGAACTAGCTAAGAGTTACGTCAATCGTTAGAAAAATATCGAACAACATCCAAATTTGGGCAGCGCCTACCCAGGTGGTTATGAAGAATTAGCCAGGGGATTAAAGCCAAGACGAAAAGGAGAAACATTTTATTATAAATAAACATTTTATGTTAATTGTTATTCATCATTTACAATATTACTCTTTTTCTGATCGGCTCAAATCCCCGGCTAATTCTTCATAATTAGTTTGCCGTGACCAAATTGCAAGATCCGAAAAACGAGAAGCCCTGAGGCGAGGTTACATTAGCTCAGGCTCTGTTTTGCAAAGAAGAAATAACCGAACTACTGCCTAAAAACACAAGAACAGCAACAAAAAATAACCGGACGACAACAGCTAGACTAAACATCCCCTTAAATCCAGAATTAGCAGAAAAACAGGCAAATAGAAACGGGAACTTAACATCGTTCGAAGTATACGTCATTTTAAGAGTATGATTTTTTTTCTGAATGAATAATGAAACAATGATTGGGTTCGGCTTTCGTAATACCGATGTGAAGAAATATGCAGATAGCGGCCAGGTGGAAAACACCCTAATTGATCTGAGTGTATAATTCTTCAGATCAGGTGAAAGCCGAATCCAATAATTGCTAATTATATCTATCACTACACTCTTTTTTTTATATAAGAATATATTTTATAAGAATATCGAGGCTGAAATTTGCGAAATATTAAGAATATTTTAAGAATAAAGCCAAGGCTGAGATTTTGAAAAGGATAGATATAATTTTGTGTGTTGAAACATCTGTAAATACAATACAATTTTATGTTTTTAACTTAACCGTATAAAATTATTCCTTTCTCTGAACGGCGAAACTAGCCAACAAAACGAAAAAACCTGCACTAGCTATAGCAAAATGTTCAACGCTAATGTCAGTTCGATGAACGGTACATGTCATATATATACATATACCCCAATAAATTCTAAAACGGAAATGTCATAAGCTTTAATTTAAGAATAATACAAGAATATTTTCAGCCTTAAATCGGCAGAAAAATAAGAATATTCAGCCTGGGCCGGAAAAACAATATTCTTATAAAAAAAAAAGAGTGTATTACAAGGTCAGTTCCACATACCTACTTTATGATGGTAATTTTAGGAGACAGAAAGTTGCCTTGGACTATTCAGTCATTTATGGATAGCCCAGATGGATTCATCCAAGATATGCATAGATCTGACGGCTTGAGTAAGGAGCGAAGAGAAGAGTTCATCCTCCATGTTATACTGAAACATCTTGAAGGATACTGGGGCGGATGTTCTTCCGCCAATGAGAAAGTGTACAGGATTTTGGGGAAAATCATGAGCGTCGATAGTAACATTGTAGTCAAGCATACTATGCATCTGCTCTTTCATCTGATATGCAAAGACAATTTAAGTAATGACACCCGAAACCTCATGCTAGTTGAAAAAAATTTACGAACTTCCCTTTTCTCTTCTGAGAAAGGGCTTGAAAGAGATCTAAACGCAGAACAAAATTTCCAGCTTAAGGTATATGGTCGAGTTTTGTCTTTGCTTTTGGTGCAGCGGGTTCGACAACAGAATTTGCCTACTACAACTCTGGAGGAAGATCTGACAAAAGTACAGGAAGACGTCAGGAAATGTTGCGCCAAGGTTGAAAACAAAAGGAAAGACGAATTCCGGTATTCATTGGAATTCATAGATCGGATGATTAGTCTTCTTCTGACACCACATGACAAGCTAACAGCTGCAACGAAACTAAATGACTTCTTGAAAGAATCTGAGGACTTTTTCATAAATCAAACCACAGAGCACACGAAAAGGCTCAAGATTCTTGATACTTACAGGAAGAAGAAAAGCGGAGAGTGGTGTGTTCTCCATTGCATCTTGATTTTTTTACATGGAGAGGTAACCCAAAGAGAGATTGTTTAAATACGTTATAGATGTTATTATCTTTAGAATGAGACTTAGCTAGTCCACAAGTTCCAAACCTATCAGCTCTCACAAAGCGTTCCTTTACAATCCAATTTTTCCATTTTAAGCTCCTGAATGCAGATTTATTTCCCCCCGTTGAATAGCTTTTAGTACAGCAAACCCTATTTAAGATATTACTGCGTACTGCATAGTTTCAGGAAACACTAAAAAAGTTAAAGCAATCGTAATTTACGTCGAGTAACTCCTGACAGTAATTGAAGTGATAAACGTGAGGTCGACAGTACGCTGATTTTCCTCCCTGACTCCATCATTGCTCTGTTTGAAGGGTATTTAAAACTAGTTAAAGCTACACAGAAAGGAGAGAAGTCAAAGCAAGGATGTGATGACTCGGGACCTTGCACACCGAAGACCGCGCACTGGCCAAGTTTGTCATCTTTCTTGCCCCTTAAGAATTAATGATGTATGGTCAGGATAGTCAAACCGACTATAGGGAACATACGCTGAATAGCGACTTCAGGTCCAAAGGTTCAAAGTATTACTCGATTTTAAACTGGTTTCGGCAATATGCCCATGTTACCTTTAATTAAGGCTACTTGGTTCCGTTTTCCTGTATGCAGGTACAGAGCGAGCGGTCTGTTCGACAAAAAGAGACCGGAAGGCGGGCCATGATTCTTCTTAGGCTGATCATTGAAACCTTCTTGAAAGAAGGAGATGGTGCAGGGGATTGGAGGTTTTGCTTATTAGCATCATCAATACTTGCTCATATCGCAATGAACAACGAGACAATAGGTGAGTGCTTTTAAAAATCTGCTATTTAGTTATTGTTTTAAATAGTTATTATAAATAGTTTTTAAAAAGGTGAATAGTATTTAAAATAAGACTCTATAGATTGTTTTTAAATTAAATTTTTCTTGTTTTTAATTGTGATTATTACAGCTTTTATATATGTAAATTTTTGTCTTATTATTCTATTGATTTTATGTTAAATTGTAAATAATATTTTCTTTTCTTTTCTTTGATGTGCTTATTATTATTAATATTATATATTATATTATTATTATTACTTATAATGCATTTAATGTATATATATATTTCTATATTATATTCATGTAGTGTCAGCTCGAAGATATTAGCTTGTTAGATATACTCTATAATTCGAGTATAAATAAAGTTTATGTCATGTTATGTTAGTAGGCCACAAGTACATCAGCTTTTTTATAACTATATAGTGTTACCCTCTTTAAACAAGTCTTCACTACTCTTCACTTCACTTGACATTTAGCCAGCATTAGCTTGTCCCTCTGAAGGACACCAATACGGCGTCTCAATACAGAGCTCTACAAACTACAAATTTGGTCCAAAAACTCATTAAAAATTTCATAATGAAAAAATAAAACAAAACAAAATGTAATGAGTGTCTTTATATCTGATGAAGACATGGCTAAACTTAACGTCCAATTCTTTAGACCAAAATAGCCCAAAATCTAATGTGCAAGAATGAGGTGATTTTGAAGCCGTTCAAAAAACCCCCAGTCGTGTATTTTCAGGTTTAAAACTCTCGGCAACAAATACACCAGCTTGTGCTCGTTTTTTAAACACTACGAAAACCATTTCTCCGAATTATCATTTGAAAAAATTGCACTAACCAGAATCTCGGTAAGGGTCTGCACATATTTACCTCCGATCATTGGAAATAAAGAAGTTGCGAGTTACATTGGCGTCGTGATCACGTTATCACGATCATTATTGTATTCTTCGTCTAAAATCCATCTTATATTGCACATTAGTAAAATTCAACTAGTGGTCTATTATCAATGCTACGTTCTGATTGGTTGCGCTACTACTAGGCTATATGTTATAGCCCACTAGTGGCGAAAAGCGCGGGCTTTTTGGCGGCAAAAAAGGATTAAAGTCCAGCTTTAACTAGCTAAAATTCTTTTATTCTCGATATTTTTGACTAACTAGTTGGATTTTACTAAAACAATTATTCCTCTCGCCCTCATGTCCTCTGAGTCAATAGCGCATTCGGCCTGCGGCCTCATGGGCTATTGCTGGAGTCAGAGCCCATTCGAGCTCGAGGAATAATTGTTAAATATTTCATGTATAAGAGCACCCCATGAACATCGAGTAAACATGCGACAGACGCAATTTTACTTTTTATCTCCTTTTTCATTTGCATCAGAGATCATGAAAGAGGCCGGAAGCTGTTTAGTAAACCTCCTTAAAGACCTTGTGAAAATGGACAAAGGACGGACAAGGTTGGAATGCAGAACAATAGTGGAGCAAAGAGCCTTACAACTATTTTTTTGCCCTCACAGTAAGACTAGAACTTTGCTGGTTAACTTTCTCCTCAATACCCTGGATGTACAAGACGTTGTCTCAGCCGACCTCCACATTAATCACTTAATGTCGTGCTCGGAATACAGAGCCCAGTCACTTGAAATCAGTAACGATAAAATTCACACGGGCCAGAACTGTTTTATTCACAAAGGAATGTTTCAAAGGAGGAAGGTAATGCTCTCGATCAATGTTTCTGGAAATACATTTTTACAAAAAGAATGAGTAAATTCTGGTAGCTTTCTTTGAAATGATTTGCGATGGCTGTGAATTGAGGCCATTTTACATCAAGGTGGACCCCAAAGTAGGTGAGGTAACCCGCTTAGTTCGGGTAACCCGACTGTTCATATAATCTACATTTATATATGATAGATGGGGTGTCTCGCCGGGGAGGGTTGGCCGGTCTGCCAGACCGGGTAATCCTCTCAACCGGGGACAAATTTTGCCACGTAAACGTTTCAAGGTGGAGAAACCAACGTGGCCTAGGGGCAGGGATTCATTTTACATAAAAAAAATAAAAAATTCTTTGACTGAACAATCAACTGCCTTTGGCAAGCCGGAGACTTTGCTTCTTTAAAAGTGACAACAGAAAGCTAAGCCACAGCACTGAAAGGTTCCAGAAAAAGCGGTTAGTGAGAGTAGAAGAGTATTAACCCCCAAAACAAAAGAAAGAAAAAAGACAAAGAAAGTACACCCCGGGATGGTGGGTTGAAAGATTGCATTTTAACGCGGGTTGTTTTTTTACTCAACCTGAGCGGGTTACCTCACCTACCTTGGGTTCCCACCTCCATCTAAACAGGCCCTAAGAGTCGGCAACATTTGCTATGAAAAAAGGCGAGGCTGTACACAGCTGAAACAGCACCATACGTCATTCTGCTTAGAGTTTTAGCGAGAATGTCGTGTTAGCGGAACAAGTTATAAAGTGTTATAGGTTCTATTATTTTGCGGCTGGGAGATAGCTTAACCTCCCTCAATCAGGATAATAGTGCTATTTTTTTTGGTGGAAAAGATGTACAAAGAAGCTGTCTGGGTGTCTATTATATGAGAAATACGCAAAAAATGTCGTACGCGAAGACGTTCTCGTCCTAGAATCTAAAGGTCTCTAATATGACTGCCTCTGAGCGAGATCCGAATCAGAGATGAAAAAAGTGCGAAAAGGTCAGCACGGTTTTTCCTTTTGGGTCGTTTTCGATAGGTCACAACCCAAAACTGCACAATGCATTTGAAGACTGAATTACAGTTCAGGAAGTGATTGTAAAACAAGCCACCGTCGCCAGCCGGCTAGATTCCTAAAGACCGCCAGCAGAAACTTATTTGACCTATTTTCTGTTTCCTTTGATCGCACTTCTCTTTCAACTTGGCCGGCGATTTCTCTTTCTGCAGGGTGGCTCATGTGCACAGTACGAGCCTACTGAACAAGAGAATTGTCACAAAGTGTACGTCTCCTTTTTATACTAAGCTCTTTTTCTTAGTTACAGTTTTTGCTTCATTTAGGTGGCCATCAAAATGTTATGGGTTACAAAGCAACATCTCAAAGAGGAAGATCCCAAATCCCGGTCAAGAGCGCGTCTTATTCAAGAGGCCTACAATCTGACACGATTAAATAACAGTCAGCACTTTCCCAATCTGCTCGGCTACAATACTAAAGACCTCCCATACCATCTTGTTACTGATCATGAAACGTCAGGTGACCTGCTACACTTTCTCCGGGAGTCTCGAAAGAGCATCATGCATTTGCCATCGGTCAGGCTTCTTAAGATGATCATAGATGTCATCAACGGCCTTTTGTACTTACAAGAGAAGTGTTTAGTACACCGTGCTGTCATGGCGGAAAACGTTCTCGTAGGAGAAAGCTATGTTTGTAAACTAAGCGGCTTGTATGCCTTGAAAAAGCTTTCATATGGAACATCTGAAAAGGGTAATGATCTTGAATTATAAAACAGATTCAGAAATCAAACTTCCTTATATAGGAGGATATAGTTTGCTGGCTAACGTTTCATTGGGCAGCCGAAACAATAGCTGGCTAAAAGTAGTGGCCTGTTTTCAAGGGTATAAGGTTTCTTAGAGATTGTACATGGCACAGATGATTCAGTACACTTAGATTACAATTAGTTTGCGTTGAGGCACCATATCTGCTCAGCTTTTGTCCGCGTTATGGCTTTTATTAGTTCTCAACTGGTAGGGCAAAAACAAGGGTCATAATATTACATTTATAAGAGCCAGATACAAACGGATAGGACTAACGGTAAAATTGAAAAAAGGCGCAAAATTTTCTTAAAGGGCGAGAATTTTTTCTCTATTATTATGTAAAATAATCTTATCTAACGTGTAATTAAAAATGTTTCGTCATCCATTTAAATACAAGCCAGCCCTAACAAGAAACTGCCAAATATTGGCATTATCTACAGGTGCTACTTCAGCCGCAGCATATGACTATTGCTCTGCTGATGATGGTGTCCCAGATTATATAAGCGCAGACGACGAGGACAAGGAGCTTCCCGTGCGATGGAAAGCTCCCGAGTGTATTACCAAGCATCGATATTCCTCTGCATCCGATACCTGGGCGTTTGGAATTCTTATGTACGAAGTTTTCACCTATGGGTGCATTCCATACAAGCACATCTCAGACGACAAGGAAGTGGCCTCTCATGTAGGTCAATGTTTTAGCTATTATACGTAGCAGTTATCGATTTGTGATGCTAATAATCTATCGAAATTCTCACACCTAGTTATGAGTGTAATGCCTGAAATACTTTTGGTAGAAGCCGGGTAATCGAGTGGAGGGGAATGACAAGTGGGTCATAGAGGACCTCCCGGTACCGAAGGCTAACCCCATTTCTGTTCCTTATTGAAGTACCCTTTGTTTGCCCTTTTTTCCTTAGCGACATCCTCGGTGTCTGGTATGAGCTGTCTGGTATACCTCTTTTTTGAGATGCACATCCTTTGATAGAGAGGTGATGGTGAAGTTTGAGCCTGGTGAATACATGAGAACAGTTAGAGGATGTGGACTAGTAAGCCTGCAAGGTCATAGGTTCGACAGTCATGCACATTCTTTATTTTGTTTTTCTATATCTCAAGGTTGTGAAGGATGGAGGAATTGTGCCTCATGAAACATGCATCGAAGAAGAGAAGTTTGAGTTGATCAAGAAGTCTTGTGAGCGCGAGTTTCACAAAAGAAAGAGTCTGAATGAACTGAAAGAAAGCCTTCAAAATATGCTCACTGATGCAGGTATTTCCAACTATTCCTTAATAATTCGCTTTCTGTCCCTCGTGTATTTTTGATATATGATGTTTTTTTAACTTTGATTTGTTAGTAGAAACCAACATTCTGTTATCTGACTGGCAAACTCGTTATCTATAGATAACAAGTGGCAACCTCTTTAACATAATTTTTTTTTCCCAGAAAATATATAACGGTCACAAAATAGACAAAGTAAGGAATGGACATTTTAAATGGTGGGAAGTCCAAACTTTGTTGCCGTTATTCGCAACAAGCGAACGACTCATTCGTAAATTAAGGTTGTATAAAAAAAAACTCCTAATAAAATTGAATTGAAGATGGTACGCAATTTGCTTCTAGTAGCTAATAAGTTACTCTATTCATTCTTATTTTCCACGAGTCAAAATAAATCAACGATGCTCGTGGCGCCGAGTAGACTCTTGACCCATAGAAAACTAGAACACTATATATAACCTTCTACATATCCAGTTATCTTATTAGTGTTGCGTATTTTTACAGATGAAAAAGAACCAGGGCCTGAGCCACCGAGTTGGGTAAGTCTGTTTTCAGTCTTGTTTATTTGTTACCAATTCAACATACTTATCAACCTGGAGTTTACTTTTCCTGGTCACTTTATGGGAAATCACCCACTATATATCCCATGGAAAACAAAAATTTTCTCAACCCTTCATCCAGCGATTTCTAAGAAGTTTAATTTTCTCCCGTCCTTAGGGTTCCCTACACATTAATTGTTTCTGAGTCCTTACACTTAATAATGAGAGAGGTTATTTCAAAGCAAAAGTACAATGACGCTAGCATACTATTCGCGACAGTCCCTTTCACGCTCGCTGAATAAGAGACGGAGAAATGGAACCGCGCCAAGACGTTGAACGTTAGATACGTCCTAAAGAACCCAGACACTGCCAAAACTCAAAACCGGGTCCCAAAACTCAAAGAAGAGAAAAACCCAGTTCTCCAACACTGAAGGTAAAGGGGTGGAACAAAAGTACTCATAAACTCAGAGTATGGTGAAACAACTAGACTACTGATACTTGCTGAGAGCTGGGCAAGGAGGTCTTTCAGGGCATACCAAAAGGACTGCGTGGTAAAACACGAATAGGCTGCCAACCCTTGAGTGGCAACAAGCAAATAAACTGGAGATAAAAGTCCAAGGTAAAAAGGAAACCTAAGGCGCAGAGACCACGCGAGAAAAAGCGTCAGTAATCCGACTAGGGCATTAGACACCCTTTCAGGCTACCATGGAAGCGCAGGAAGAAAACCATATGACATGACGGCAGAAAAGGCGAGGAACGAATAGCACACATAAACTACAAGAACAGAAAAACAACTAGGAACATAAGGGAGTAAATACACTGGGACAAGGGAGTAAACCCGCAGAACTACCGGACTGTATATTTTAGGATCAGCTTCGGAGCCCTTTTTAAAGATGGCATAATTATTGGCAGGCCTCCAGGAATGTGACAGAGTTCCCGAATCGTAAAATTGTTGGAAAAGGGAAGAGAGTAAAACTGCGAGTTCTGAGGCGACGTCACGGAGAATTTTGTAGCTGGAACCAAATATGGTCCACTAGCTTTAGCTATATTAATTTTCAGGAATTGCCTCTTAACGACCCCTGCCGAGAGTATCATATCAGGCATACACTCATAAGGCGAGGGGGGCATTTAGCTAAATTCCCGACGTCTTCTTCCATGAACACACTGTCATACTGCTCGCGTAAGGCCTCAGCTTTGGAGCTTTCAGAAGAGGATACGCGGTTGTTAGATACTAAGGCTGGGGTTCAAGCCGCCAACAACTCAGAATCAGAATAGTAAAAGCTTTGATGAAAATAAAACAAATTTCAAAGTATTACAATGAAAAAATTGAAAGTTTTGTTAGGTGCTTTTCTGTGAGTCTCCAGCATTTTGTCCAGAAAAATTAAGGCCTTGTCAACACGAATCCGGGAATGCTGAAACTGAAACGAATTCGGTGTGGTTTTTCTGATTTTATTTATTCCCCTACATAGGGCTTTGAAAACCAACAGGATGAAGAGACGTACAGCGTTATTCCAGGTACGTTTTCCTTGGCAGCCAAATTCAAGACCAGCCTATTTAAACCAGATGACGCATCTTTTTCATTTAGTATGACTTACCTGATGAGAACAACTTTACATTTTTAAGAAGCCTTGTTCTTAAAGCCTTGGTGACAATACGATGGAATTCCAATTTTTGGAACCTCTTGCATTAGGGAGATAGAAAATGTTTGGAATTTCTCACTGATAATATGAAAAATCAGGGGTAAAATCTCTCCATATTTTTGACACGGAAAACAGTCTGAGTTTAGGTTTGAATTGTTTGAAACTAAGGGAAACTGAGGTTTCACTTTGTTGTTGATTCTCTTCGCCATCCTTTCTCCGATAGTTTTTTTCTACCCGGTATAGTGTGTACTTCTCCTTTCCCGTCCGCTTAAAAACCATTATACACCTGTTTTATGAGTGGCAAATTATCCTTTTTTCCTTTTATTATAGTGTATTAGTTTTTTATTCCACATAGATTCTTTTTCATTTCTTAGGAAAAGAAGAATATCTCTTGCAGAAGGGCGATTGTCCACTTATTAAAGGAGATAAGGTAAGTCGGTTAACTTTCGTGATAACAAACAAAATAACGATTTCGATATACGATTGAAAGGACTGAACGTGGGTAACTGAGAACTACGCCAGTGTAAAACAGTTTTAGCGCATCCTAATTGTTTTGTGGAGAATTTCCGTAAACAAAACAAACGAGTCACAAACTAGAAAATCTCCCAGCCTTTTGTCCAGATCTCTCTCCAGCCTTTTGTCCAGAAAATTAAGGCCTTGTCAACACGAATCCGGGAATGCTGAAACTGAAACGAATTCGGTGTGGTTGTTCTGATTTTATTTTTTCCCCTACATAGGGCTTTGAAACCAACAGTATGAAGCGATTTACAGCGTTATTCCAGGTACGTTTTCGTGGGCAGCCAAATTCAAGACCAGCCTATTTAAACCAGATGACGCATCTTTTTCATTTAGTATGACTTACCTGATGAGAACAACTTTACATTTTTAAGAAGCCTTGTTCTTAAAGCCTTGGTGACAATACGATGGAATTCCAATTTTTGGAACCTCTTGCATTGGGGAGATAGAAAATGTTTGGAATTTCTCACTGATAATTTGAAAAATCAGGGGTAAAATATCTCTATATTTTTTGACATGGGAAACAGTACTGAGTTTTGGTTTGAATTGTTTGAAACTAAGGGAAACTGAGGTTTCACTTTGTTGTTGATTCTCTTCGCCATCCTTTCTCCGATAGTTTTTTCTACCCGGTATGTGTGTACTTCTGCTTTCCCGTCCGCTTAAAAACCAATACACTTGTTTTATGGGTGGCAAATTATCCTTTTTTCGCTTTAATAGTTTATTAGTTTTTTATTCCACATAGATTCTTTTTCATTTCTTAGGAAAAGAAGAAGATCTCTTGCAGAAGGGCGATTGTCCATTTTTTAAAGAAGATAAGGTAAGTCGGTTAACTTTCGTGATAGCAAACAAAATAACGATTTCGATATACGATTGAAAGGACTGAACGTGGGTAACTGAGAACTACGCCAGCGTAAAACAGTTTTAGCGCATCCTAATTGTTTTGTGGAGAATTTCCATAAACAAAACAAACGAGTTACAAATTAGAAAATCTCCCTTGTTGGAGCAGAGTATCCGTCAAGATTGAATTTTTTCGTTCTGAACAGATTTGTTTAGGTCTGTGATCGAAACTTTGCCGTTTTTGTAAATTCACAGAGGTATGAGTTAAGGCACTAACTAAAGGGTAAAGTTAAGCAGAGAAATCTACCTAGAAAGGACCAAAAGCGCGTGATTTTACCCTTTTATTTGTATAGGTAATAGCATGGTTTGTATTGATATTTGGCATAAATACCACGAGTGATGTTTCGAAATTGTTATACGTAATTTCACAAGTGAAATTTGAGACAATGAGTGGTACTTATGCCAAATATCACGAACAAAGCATGCTATTATTTGTTTATACTACTACCAGCAAACGGTTTGAAATTTTCACATGTAGGTATTTCAAATTAAGCTGAAATACCACTGCTTTCTCATGTAGTAGTTAGTGTAATACTAGACCATGCACAGTAACATGCGGGCTTGTAGGAGTATTTCCAGCCTCCGCACTTTTGAAAACAAAAGAATCCTTAAAGGAAAAAGGATGCATGCTTTCAAACAACTATAGAATCCACCCTAACCACAGACTATCCCTTGCCCTCTGTATAGTACTATTTACTTGAATCAACATCCATTTTCCAGGGTTCGATTTGGATATGCGAGAGAATTACAAAGTTGGATATAAAGCATCTCAAATCACTGAAAAAACTGAACAACCCTAATCTTGCGAACATCTTAATAAAGCATTGGGACTCTCACTCTCCCGTGGTGGAAATAGTAAGTAACCTGTCCCTCTTCTATAACTTCAGCAGAAGTATTGTACTGACCTTAACATACAACGCGTACCTAAGTAATTATAAATAATAATAAGCATGCAGTTGGATTTGTTTACATCACATAGAGAATCTAAAAACCGGCAAAAACAATATAGTGCTGGAGTTCACATAACCACAGTGAGATTTTTGCTTTTGTGTAGAAGCAGCTTTTTGAATAAAAATCTTTCCGTATGCCAAGTAGCGGACAAATAACGGTAGTTTAGGGTAGTGAAAAGAAAAATTTAAGGTAAGGTAAATGTTATCTTCTTTCGTTCTCATTTTCATTGTTCAATTCTCGTGAAACTTAAACACTCTTAATCTGGGAAATAGCCTTCGAATAGAACTGCCTCTTCACTCCCCGTCGCTGAGACGTTAGTGAGCTTTAGCAACGACGACGACGATCTTCATGAGAACGTCAAAAAAACAATAGCAGCGCGTGAAGTTTCCGTATACGCCATTTATGGACGAAGTAAACGATCGTACAAATACGACAACCAATTTTTTTTTCTCTTTTCCTCTGAACGTCGATGCAGTCCTCAAAATTTCAACTCAAGAGAAAACACTAAGTACATTTGACAGTTTAAGCGTGTTGGAATAAGCGCAACAAAATTTGAAAACCTTAAAGTTTGTGTTAAGATTCATCCGTTTCAAGTCGAAAAACGCGATTACATTTCAATAGTGACGTTTTCGCCGATTACATTTCAATGGTGACGTTTTCGCCTTCGTGGTTTCTAACACTTAGAAACATCTCCGGCGGTGGGCTGGGGAAGGGGGGAGTGAGAGATGCGGCTTTATTCGCTGGATGCCTGTTAAGTGATTTTTATTTTTTCTCACAGACTTCGTTGGCGAGCACCTTAGGCAGTTTAAAGGATTACGTTGTTAAAAGGCGTTGTCGACAAGAAAGCATTGTGACGTTTCTGTCCCAGGTGGCTTCCGCGCTACATTACCTCCATACTAAGCACATTGTACATGGGGATCTCAGAGCTATGTATGTCATGGTGGACTCTCCAGACAAGGTAATTAAACCTACTTACCCTTAACAGTGATTTCAAATACTACCTGAGTTTAGGACCAGGGAACATTCAATCAACTTTTCCACGGCTTTATGTCGCATGACGGACAAACCAGTGGCCTTCAAAATACTATTCCGTTTAAGGACCTAGTAAAAATATGAAAACAAGAAATAGGAAGATACTGTGTTATAAAATTTCAGCGGTCGGTTTTCATTTTTTCTAGCTGCTATGTGCATTTTTAAAAAGACGACCGCAGCATTCAAAGCAAATACTGAATACGAACTTACGTAAGTTCTTTAAATTTTCGAACCTACTACATTTTATTTTCTCTCTTGGCAGGTACAAGTTGGCCGTCTAGGTCGCTCAAAATCCCTTTCCCCGAGCTCTTATGAAGTTACCAGTAAGTCCTGTGGTGTAAAAGCTGAAATGCCATCTGACGCTTCTCGCTGGTGAGCAACATGAACCCAACTAGTAGCATGCAGGACCGGGACCCTTTCCCTTCTTGTGTGAAACACATTTCCCCTTATTACCCAAGGTTTACTTCCCACCCTAGACACCCTTACCCCTTGTCACTCCAGGTACACGTTCTCTTTACTATCCCAGAGACACTTCCCCGTGAACACATATACACGTACTCTTTGGCAACCTTAATAAACCCAACTACACCCTGCTTACCCCAAATATACTTTGCCTTCTTACACTAGGTAACAGCCTTCGATTTTCCTGTGAATCAGTTTATCTGGTTGATACCCTTAGAGACAGCTGATTTTATCCTGTCTGTTGTAGTATAATGAATTTAGCCATAATTCGCCATAATCATTGTGTCAAATTGCGTGAATCATAGGCCTTGCAATTGCTGAATGAATTTCAACGGAAACTGATCCCAAAGACGAGCATTAAACATTTTAGTTTAAGTGAATGCTGGCTATCTTTCATCTAGCGGCTTTTTCCCTAAAATGCCAGATGTTTTAAGCGCACACACTGTTCCAGAACTTGACTGAAGACATTTAGTTTCGTCAAGCTTATCAATTCACAAAAGAACAAAAGAGTCGTTCATCAGAAAATGTCCCACAAAAATCCGGTCGCCCATTGTTTCATGAAATTCCACCTGAAGTCGGAGATGATGATGGAGATCAAGTTTAAATAAATCATATTTTGAAGCTGACGATTTACTTGGTACCAAGACAGTTCAGTATACTTATAAATTAAAATATAAATAAGAAAATATTTTGTATGCCCCTCACCTTTTCTGATCTGTCCTACTAAGATGGTTACTGTTCGGAAATAAGTCCCTTCTGAATAGAATAGTTAAGCCTTAAATTAGCCCGCGTAATAGGGGCATTTGGTTTTGATCACGCAGCTAACCACACAATAGCTTTGATGCATGCAAAATCTATGTCATTTCACGGGCAATAGTTTTACACACGCGAAAAACTGTCATAAGTTTTATTCTAAGCTTTAAAACATATATTTTAGAGTTAATCTTTGTAAATTATTTCTGGGAAAGTTTGTACTCGTGCCCTGCATCTTTAGGGTAGCAAGCAAGGTTAAGCTTACAAATATATAAAGTTCTTCCAAATTGATTTAGCATTCGATAGCATGATTTAGCGCGCTATTGTTTTTGCAAACGCTCAAGTGCATGCATTATAAAACAATTACTAAATTCGGTTTTCCCACGATAGCAAGAATTATCAAGGCCGCAATTTGGAGGTATCCGACCCTGCCTTCGGCTTTGGCAGACAATTCAAGTTAAAGTGCTTAACTTTGTTTAATAATTGAATGAAGGTGTTATCCGTCTAAAAGTTAAAACTACAGGACGTTAAAACTGTGTAATTTGATACTCTAGCAATAACAGCGCGAATACTTTCGATCTTAATCAGGAGTGCTCCAGAAGTGAACTTGGATGGATACTACACGCATGCAAGCGATGTATGGGCATTTGGCATTATGGCCTGGGAGCTCTACGTGTCATTCATATCTGGTGAAGACCTGCAACCGTATTATCACCTTCAAGAAGATCAGGTGAAAATGATATCATCTACAACTGTTACCTTTCTTACAAAGTATAAATAAAGGTTTTATTTTAAGAGGTTGCACTAAAAAGACATTCGCTAAAAGACTTGTGCCCTGAAAAACCTTAAAAAGAAAAAAGATTTACATATAAGATTAAGATTTAATTTAAGAATGAAATGTATAGGATATTCGTCGCCACACTCAGTCACATAGCTTCAGGCGGTTTCAGGTGCTCCATTCTACTTCATTAACACCATGAAGTGTTCTCCGAGACCACTCCATTCAAATATAATCCTGCATACTGGCACTAACTACTGAGCTCGTTGCACATCTTGCACCAGTCAACTTCAAGTTTGATGGAGGAGCTAGTGGGACTATAGCCCTACCTAAACCATGCACACTATAATAATAATATTCATTATTGTGCTGGCTGTTCAGTAAACTAAGACACCAGCACTAACACCATGTCACTCATCTCCAAATATCTTGTGGGCATAGAGAAACGGCAACGGGGACAGGTAGAGGATGCAACTGAAGACTTCAGCCTCAACTCTGCACGCAGGCGGCCATGGGGTGTCATGGTCAGTTCCCACAAGGCAAATGTGGAATTTGTCACAACAGACATAGGTGCAGCAATGCTCTCTCCAATCCCTTTTTTTTAGGCTTTTCAATAGCTAATACTCGACAGGGGGCGCATACTCCACCTGGAGGGATTTTCACTGAGATCCTTTACTGACAGATGTTTGCCTTTTTTCCGGAGCACCCGAACAGAACCCTAATCCATTGTCTTTAGGCACAGCCCAGGGAATATACCGCGAGAAGATAGTTATTCATGAGTTTATAGGTGGCCAGAGCATTAAGAACAGTGACCCTTTGCACCCAATCCGGGGACAGATATTTGAAAAGGAACCTTAAACAAAGCTTGCTCCATTTGTACTTGCCAGTTCACACGGCAACAAGCATGTCAACAACAAGAAATGAAAACATGTCAACCTTGACACAAGCTGCCGGGACAGGAAAACTGATCCTCGGCTTGTGGAATGTCAGGACCGGCACTGTTAGAGAGTGACAGCAGACCAGAGCGCGAAACCAAAACCAAAACTCTGAGCAGGTACAACATTGACATACTGAATAAGAGAACACTTGCAGAGGAGTCTCACAGGATTCGAAAGTCCAAAGAGGAGACTGAGTGTGTATGCTTTGCCCTATGATCTCAGCTGGCTTACAAGCTCGACTAATAACCGTGAGGGATCAATGACCGACTCATGTCACTATGCCTATGGTCCAATGACTAATACTCAAAAATCCTGAAAGACGCCTTTTATGATGGCCTCAGTAGAACAATCAGATGAATGCCACACGAAGACAACCTTCTCCTTCTGGGGCATTTCAATGCCTGAGTTGGCAAAGAGAGCTAGCTATTCATAGAAAAGCGTTGTAGGGAAGCATGGTATCTGGAAGGAGAATTCTAATGGCCACCTCCTCTTCCTACTGACAAAAAGCAGAGAATTAAAACTCGAAAACACCAATACAGTCTTCTAACAAGCCAATAACCAGAAAACCACCTGGGTGCGTGCACCCGAAATCCAAACATTGTCACCTGATAGGCTACATGTTTGTACGACAGAGAGACTAAATACTTTATACGACAGGGTATTACCTAAGAAACAAACGTTTGGCGCGTCATTTAAAGGGGTATTGTCTATTATGACAGCGGGGTCCTCTTTTCGGGTGTATAGGAAATGTATGATGGGTGCATGACCTCTGCCTTCTTTAAGCTGACTGTTAGCCCGAATAATTTGGCAGCGTAGGCAAAGCGGTCAACTAGTACTTGGATGCCTAAGCCCAGCACAAAGCCAGGTCCAACCTATCTCCAACTGATCATGATGGAAACAACATCTGTGCATGTGTGCCTCCAGATCTGCAAATACCGGTTAGGTCTGCATTTCCACATGAGATGTCACATCAAACACTGATCTGAGGTTATTGTGCCGTACTCTCTTGCTGGACACTCACCCATCGTCGAAGCGACGGGAGAAACCATAGTAGTTTATGCCTTATACCTAACATCTCAGTTCAGATGATCGCATCATTGGGCGGTGACGTTAAGCCGTTGGCCTTGTCTCCTTTATTCTAGTACTTCAGTTGGAAGGGGACGTAAAAAAAACCGTGACATTGTTCGAAAAGAGTAGGTGACGTAGGCCCCGATGTCATGGTCTATCTGACTTGTGCCGTCATCGGTCTGGGTGGGCGAGGTGTGATCAAAAACACTGACTGATCATGAAGTGGGTGCAAGAGTGCGCCTTTACATGCTGACGTCCGATCTCAGCTCTCTGGTTCCTCCGCTATTCATCCATTGGCTTCAAGTGAGGAAAGTTGGCACCGCATATATTTTCTTTAACTTTGAGAACCAAAGCGAATGTTCACATACAATCTTTGATCTAGAAATGTTACGTTAGGTACCATTTAAAATAATGCAATTTTGTATTACTTAGCACTCAAACAGATATCTAGTTTGCGATGCCTATGTTGGTAGTTTCATTCATGTCCTCGTATGCGTACTTGGCGTCATTATCATCATACCATCGTCATCATGATCATTGTTAATCATTTTTATTGTCAATCTCATGGCTGATGGAGGTTTTAATTGCCGTGGGTTTTCAAAGGCGCGACAGCAAGTTGTCCGAAGCTTTAATTTTGAAGTAATTGTCAGTCGAGTGCACGTGCCTGCTTTGCTATTTCATATTTCTAACACTTTCCTTAGAATCCTGGTAGTCCCGAGGAGTGGATTATCTTGGATAAGGTCTACCCTTCATCATTGAATAACATAGATCCTTTCAGGGACAGTTCCAGTGGCTCTTATTGCAATTGTAGTGATGGTTATTGAGATAATTTTTTCCTGATGTCGTTAATCGAGTTGTCTTTTGGTTTGCCAACACTTAATTAAAATATTGTGTTGATCCTCACTGCAGATTCTGATGCATATGAGACATAAGGGACCCGATGGACAGTTAGAGCGACCGGAAGGATGTCCTGACTGGGTGTACATTTTGATGCACCAATGCTGGGCGTACGACTTTGCACAAAGACCACCGTTCCTGGCCATCTTTGATTGCCTTACAAGCAGGTAATTTATTTCTAAAAGGTTCCAATATATGTAATTCAAGGTAATGAATTAATTGCACCTGAGTGAAACTCGTCAGCAATTCTCTTTGAGCCGGCGAACAACGCGGCGGTATATGTTTCGATATGTTAAGTTTGGGGTATGGAAACTCTGAGTTATTTAGACCTATTGCACACACTTTGGTCCGTAGATACTGCATGTATAGTAAGGTGGACTAGTGATTATTTTATCCAGCTGGCTGGATGGCTGCAGGGGGGGGTCTCTAAGGTCGTCCATACTCCCCGGCTTGGTCCTTTACTTTCCCCTGGAACGCTGCTTTCGAACAGATTCATGAAATTTTAAGGGAGGGTAAAAACGGAACTGACCATTTATTTTAGGAATATCTGTGTACAAACCTGCTCATGACAGAATTCACACTCTTTGTCAAAGTCAACACGCCTGCATTGGTAAAATACTTTTCAACCATGGTCGCACCTTGTTGGTGTAGAGCTCTCTTCTTGAAGCGTTGACCTTGCTGGCAGACATGTTTTTCATAAAGACGAACAACAAATCACTCGATGACAGATACAGTTGAGGACGCGGTTCTCTACAGGGGCACCCAAGGACTTTTTCGATAACTGTTCGAGGAAGCAAATATTCCCCAGAGATTTCAAAAGTTCGGAAAAGGTTAAAAATTTGTGGACAACGGTTCCATTCCTCTGAGATGTTCGAAGTTTTTCTACTAACTTACCAACGATTTTTGGAGGTTTTGTTTTCACATTCTATTACCAAAACATTGCGATTTTTGTTAAAAAAAAAAAAAGGTCTCCTGGACATTTCAGTATAAAAACAAAACGTCTCACGAAATCGTCGCCGCTGCTGGCGAAGGCTGAAAAGAGTCGGTCCCTAGTCACTGCGTACGCTACGCTTCAGAGACGCTTTGGATATCAGGTTTGGCTGTTGCCGTTTGATCAGTACCAGTGCACTTCTAGAATATTGTGTCGTGAACAGCCTCTGCAGTTCTTTTGCAACAGTAAGACGGCAAATTTCTTCAAATAAGGATATAAAACAGCTACAAGGTTTTTTTAAATCGAAAACAGAAAATACTGAAGCGTCAAAACTGTCACTTCAATGTTCGTCACGCTTCTCACAGGCCTTGTACACCAGTTTTGTTTTAGCGAAACTCAAGAGGGAGCTCTTCTCGAGTTATGAGATATCTTAATTCGACTATTTAATGCCGTAGGAAATTCAGTCAGAAAATAAGTACACCTGGTGGCCTGGTGGGCTCCCATACGCCGTCCCCTCTCATAAAATACCATAAACGTAAGGAATGAAAAACCTGTTTTCGGATGCTTCCTTTGCTTTTGTAGAGCGAAGTAAAGAATTTTTCGGTTAACCCTAAAATTGCCTTTCCTCTCTTGACCCTTGGACCGATTACCTTTTTGGTACCCCTTTTAAGTCTGTCTGACATGACCTAAGGAACGTCTGTGCCAAGCGTGGTGCTTGTAGTCAAAGCCACTAGTATGCGAACCTGTGATTAGGCGCTCCTTATTTTTTCGGGGGATCGCGAAAATCCGCCTCCTAAAGAAAAAGGGAAGAAGGACCGCCTGATCGCAGGTTAATAGTAGCATAACCGTGACCTATCCCACTCGTCCTGCTATAGGAGACGCCAAAGGAGGGAGGGATGCATACAATGAACATTTACTGTCGTGGCAAATGACGGCAATGCCTAACAAAACTTTGTTATCCCCAAGGGAACCAATGAAATCTTGGATCATGGAACTGTGGTTACAAAATCACAAGGAAAGAGAGTGGCCACTGGATTTGTCCATTTGTCAGCAGAATGCCCTTCATGTAACAAATGCCAAGAGAGACCACACAACAGAAGATATTATAAGCATGTGCCCTGTTTCATTCTTTGCAAAGCACAATTACAAATATGTGGAGACGGCATCAGCCAGCTATAGTGTGGATGATGAATATTACGCAAGCTGTTCTTCTGAAGGAGGCTCCTTGGACAGAAGACTAGAGTACCATGATACAGCTGACGGCAGGAGAACTGCCACTTTTTTCCGTGACACTGAAGAGGGCCATGGAGGGTACGAAGAACCAATAGTATCAACCTATTGTGAAACATCGGGAGAGAAGAAAGGCAGCAAAAGTTGTCAGAATGCTTTCACGGTACCCTTAAACCCTAAAAGCCAAACTGAAGCCCCTTTCTACGAGTCAGTTGAATTGCCTTTGTCGAATGAGCAACTTTTGGCGCCCATGCACAATAAATCAATCGTTTCGCGCGATACAACAACAACAATAACAAGCACCTCAGTCGCTGAGAAAACAGATGGATTTGAAAAGTCTTTAAAAACTATGCCAAACGGTAGTTCGGGTCATTTGAGCCCTTTGGAAAAATACTCTGATAAGGGAAATTTGTCTAAAAGTCTTCCCGTTAAAGAAAGCAGGTCATCTAGACTTTTTTACAGTTCTACTGTTGTTTCGCAGAGCACAAGATCACACAGTGTTAATTTCAAAGGATGCAGTGATGACACAAATCGTCCTATGGGTGGTATGGGAAGAATCGAAGCTCAGCCAACATCAAAGCACAATTACAAATATGTGGAGACGGCATCAGCAAGCTATGGTGTGGATGATGAATATTACGCAAGCTGTTCTTCTGAAGGAGGCTCCTTGGACAGAAGACTAGAATATCATGATACAACTGACGGCAGGATAACTGCCACTTTTTTCCGTGACACTGGAGAGTGCCGTGGAGGGTACGAAGAACCAATAGTATCAACCTATTGTGAACCATCGGGAGAGAAGAAAGGCATCGAAAGTTGTCAGAATGCTTTCACGGTGCCTCTAAACCCTAAAAGCCAAACTGAAAACCCTCTCTACGAGTCAGTTGATTTGCCTTTGTCGAATGAGCAACTTTTGGCGCCCATGCACAATAAATCAATCGTTTCGCGAGATACAACAACAACAATAACAAGCACCTCAGTCGCTGAGAAAACAGATGGATTTGAAAAGTCTTTAAAAACTATGCCAAACGGTAGTTCGGGTCATTTGAGCCCTTTGGAAAAATACTCTGATAAGGGAAATTTGTCTAAAAGTCTTCCCGTTAAAGAAAGCAGGTCATCTAGTCTTTTTTACAGTTCTACTGTTGTTTCGCCGAGCACAAGATCACCCAGTGTTAATTTCAAAGGATGCAGTGATGACGCAAATCGTCCTATGGGTGATATGGGAAGAATCGAAGCTCAGCCAACGTCAATCGTTAATGCAAGTAACTGTTCAAATCCCGAAAACATGAAATATGACGTTCCATCGACACCAATAAAATTAAAGAATACGACATTACCAGAACCATGTTCCGTTGAAAAGACAAAAAGTACGAAACGTACCAAACGTAACTGGACTGACAGCGTTCACTACTCCTCCGTAGAGTTAGTTGGAAGCACCTTGAATTGCGAAAATGGAAATTCGTCCAAGACAGAAAACAGCGCAACATATGCTGGACTGCATGAGTGTTGTTCCGCAGAGTATCAAGTATTGATCTCTAATCTGAGTAACGTTCAAAGCCACAAGAGTGAGGCTGACAACGACTATGACGACGTCCTCGATGAAGATCAAACCATCATGAAAAACAAAGATGACCACTTCATCTATGATGACGTTATTAGTTTCCCTGTCAATGGAGGCGAGGTTGTTAATAGTGGATTTAACAAAAAAGATGACTCGCTTATTGCAGATTTCCCAAACAGGGCAGTTCGTCTAGAACAAAAGAATGTTTCTGACAACCCACGGAGAGATGCCAAAGAAGATATGAACACAGCTAAATACAAAAAAGTGAAATCACTAGATCATGACGGAAACTCCATGAATGGTAAAATACAACAGAACTCTTTAGACAACAAACATCTGAGGCAATGTCAGAACAAAACTGAAGTGGCTTCAGGCGCTGTTTGCCCCATTTCTACTAAAATGCCACAAAGAGCAGAACACAATTCAGATCCTTGCGAATCAGGTCAAAGTATGGCAGGCCCAGTGAATCAAAAACTACAACGAAATACAGCATCCAACGAACATACTTTCATTAACAACTATGAAAACTTTTCATGTGATCTTGATCAAGGCGATAACTCCAACTCCATGCGAAGGAACACAGAGCGAAGGGAGGGGTATAACAAATATGTAGACTGCGAAACTGAAAGTCAATTTAGTTCAAACCAAAGCAATGCGAGGAATTGTTCGTATGAAAATGCTACCTACTACCTAGCAACTCCACCAAGTCAACTTTCTACAGGGGCAAGAAAGATTTCTTCTGGTTCAAAAGCCAAGAGAAAAAGTAAGAGCTGTCAAAAGAGGCATAAAGAAAAAACTGACGCTGACAGAACATCAGCAGTAGAGGACATGCATAGTACTTCAGAGCGCCCTATGCAGAATCAAAGTCTCATGGCTCGGCTTAATGATCCTGAATTGAATATAATACAATTTTGAATTTGGAATACGTTCATTGCCAAACGACAAACTGCTTTGATTCATGTGACTTAATTTAGAATAAGTTTGATGGACTACGGAATACAGAGTGCAGACAAGTGGGGTTGAAATAGATAAGGGTTAGTACTAGATAGAAACGCCAGATATAAAACGGCGGCAGAACAGATACGGCAACCTTATTTATAAATGTTGTTTCCACAAAGTAATCAAGAATTTCTCAATCAAACTTCTTTCAGTTTTACTTTCTAGCTTTTAGGAATCTTTTATATGTAAAACTTGGATGATATATGCTTTATTGGTTTCAATGTCTTGATATAAGCCTTAACGTAAGCTACAGCGAAGGTCCTCGTTTTGTAGTTTGACCGGGGTTTATATTCTTCGAATAACAACGACCCTAACTATATCACGTTGTATTTCTGCGCCTGGAAAAGCGTTTAAGCGCCAAGGTCTCAGAAAAATCGAGGTTCGATTTGTAATTTGACCTTAACTTTTGTTACAAAATTACGACCCTACCGATTCGATATCGATAACGTGTCTCACAACGCCAGATAAAGTGAGCGAGCGACAAAGCGTTTAAGAGAAGAGAAGTCCTCGTTTTGTAGTTTGACATGCTTTTTCTACAAGAAGACTCTATTAACAACATATGCATTTAAACGCCTGGCAAATAGCAGCAGGTAATACCTGTAAAGTGTATTTCGGAGCCAGACGAGAGGTCTTAGCCAAGGTCTTCCTTTTTATAGTTTGACCAAGCATTTTCTGCAAAACAAACACCGTATCGATAACGTGCCTATGAAGAAGTGTGTTATGAGGTAGCTCCAGTGTCATCCAAATGTAGTTTTACGTCAGTTTTTACGAGTCTTTGGTGTCGGATCTTCTGTTTTCAGTGTTTGATTTATGGACAGTTACTGTTAGCCGGTATTCCGGTGTAATGGCAGAGTCGATTTTTGTTTTAAATAAGCTGAAGAGTCTCGCTGAGAATTTAGTAAAGCGGACAAGCCAAACTCGTTCTTTGGCTTCAGAGTCCACTCAACCCCATAGCTGCCAGAAATTGGGCAAAAGACCTTATCTTCATTTCTGGCTGACCTACCACAGAATCATACCACTTAACCCTGTTAACACCACGAAAATAGCCAGCCTGTTCACGGACCTTCTATTTTCTCCTTTTAGATAGATCGCCTAGCGCGCGTGTGGAAAATAAAAACAACAACCCTAGCGCTAGCCAAATTACTCGAAAAAAAGAAGAAAAAAGGTCTGTATAGCAAGTTTTTCCAGGTTAACGAGCTTAACCAATTTCCATAGAATCATATTTTGTAGACTCATGTTGCAAAAAAGCGATGAGAGTCACCAGATCTTCTTCAAAAAAATTCCTTGAATGAGATTGAACGCCTCTCGACAAACCACAACCGCTGACTCTTTGTCAAGGAAGCTCGATCGCGGGCCTTTCATAACAGCCTTGTGAAATTAACACGTATTTCACGAATCATAGCCTCTTTACAGGGATTAGAAGCTGTCATAATGAAAACGACCAACAGAAAAGATAAGAATTCGCTAAAAAGGTGAGTTGATAATTTATTGGAGGTAGCTTTAGCAAGAAAGTTGAAAGAAGTGGGATTTCTGGAAACTGGCTGTGACCAACTGAGGCCATATACGACCAATGAAAATTATTGAATTGGTAGTTGTTACTTATTTAGTTAATAAGGTAACCAACTTCAAAAACTTTTTAATGGGGATGTTAGCAACTTGCTGATGGATTTTAAAAAGGGTGGATTCTTCCTCCTGGATTAACAGCCGAATAAGAAATTTTATTTTCGTTGATCAGTTTCATAACATTGCAGGTATTGCAGGTGAGTTAATTATTCACCCGTCAGAATGAAACTTACAAACGTACTACAATACTAAACTCACCCGCAGCCTTTCACATTCGTACAACTTAAAAATTATTTTTAAACTAAACTTTGGGCACCAATTGTGCTGTCCGATATCTTAATATATATAGTCAAACCCCGCAGTGCGGACACCGGCGTAATACGGACTCTTAATTATTACGCGGACAGTTTCCTTTGTCCCTGAGGACGGAAAACCCTTACATTTCTCTAAATCCAACCCACCTAATACAGACACCCTTTTAATTTGGACGTTTTCTATGGCCCCCTCAGTGTTCGTGTTAACGGTGTTTGACTGTATGTCAAAGTTTGCCTCTTGCCTGTACTACTGCGGGGAGAGCCGGAAGGCGAGGAAGGGGGCGGGCACTACAACGCTCAACTATTTCACGGTTCGCGACACCGTAACGCATCGCATCTGTCACGTTTTGACTTTTGTTCTTATGACTCAAAACTGAGGTTGACGTTCCCTGTTCAAGGCACGGAATATGATAAGCGTTTCCTCTCTCCTCTCCTTACGGTCTCTTGATTTTTCTGGGCGTCGTGTGATGCCTTATTTACTCTTTACACCCTTCTGCTTTCGTGACATAAACTAGAAAAAAAGTGCGAAGAAATAGACGGCTCAGAAACCCATAACCTTTATGCTCCTGGGGCCGGACTGTGAACCAGTCCTTTATCACATCCCTCCCTATACTCCCGATGAGTTAATCTTCAAAAGCTTCCATTTGAGGGAAATTTTCCAATATCCAAACTCTGTGACAAAATTGTTGAGACACTGTCCTCAAATAGTGGTAACTTCGGTGAACAAAACAATCCACACCCCTTCCCCTTTCCTCCATTCAAAGTGGTTGTTGTTGTTTCCTACAGATAGGTCGAACAGCGGCGCATCATTGCATAGAGGGTGTGAGGAAAGGAAAGCTTTCTTTTCCGTCTTTTGAAGTCGGTAAAACATCAGAAAGACCTTCTAGGGCAAAGCGTCTCAACTAATTTGTCACCGATTGCAGATTAAGGAACTGGTTACCACTCTGCCGGCTTGTCTCCCGGATCAGTTGGTTAGAACGCTAGAAAAACCAATCCACAGGTCGTGGAGCGATATTTTTGCAGCTGAACGCCTGTAGGTTTTACTGGAGGTTTAGACATAGCTGCTGTCTGTGCTAACGGGGAGTGCGTAATGGCGAGGTTCCCCAAAGCGAGAATCGACGAACAGTGTTATTTAAATTTTCTTCTATTGCCATTGATATTTCAGGCAAATTTTTAAAACCTGAATGGACAAGTTGCAACAGAATGGCAAAAGAGGAAGAAAGAAATAGAGAAAGACTGAATTCACGGAATTCTAAGAAACACAAAGTGCTATTTAAGTTTGCATTTTTATTCCTTTGGATCCTGTTGGCTGCAGCATTAATCGGAGTTTTAGCAAAGCACGACTTTCTACCTCGTTTTTCTGAGCATGCGCGAGAACTCTCCAAACACCGCACCAGAGGGGAGGAGATCAAGTTTCACTTTGTCGATAGCATTGACAACTTTCCTAACCAAGACGAACGTCTTCCAAATGACTTAAAACCGCTCAGCTATAAACTAGACTTACGAGTGAATTTAACAACTCTACGATATGGCGGAACTGTTACCATTGAAATTATTTGTAAGAATAAAACACGCTTTGTTATTCTCCATTCGGCAGAGCTAGACATACTAAACGTGTCTATAGAAAAAAGAGGGCAAACTCCAGAAAATAAAATAGCCATAGAAAGAATTCTTGGCTTCAAGAAAAATCAGCAGCTCTGTATTGAGCTACGAGAACACCTTCGTAGAGGGGTAGTGTACTTCCTTAGTTTGAAGTTCAAGTCAAAGATTTCCGACACACTTGTAGGATTTTACAAGAGTTCGTATTCTACTGAAAATGAGGAAAAAAGGTAAGCGAGTAGTTATTAACCATAGCCTACTAGTGCCGCACAAGCATCTACTGATCTATCTTCTTTGATACTAATGTCCCGGTAAGCTAGGTATAGAGGTCACACTCTACTGAACACGGAAGTTCAGTTGTTGTTACAGCAGTGCACTAAGTGTCCGTCTTAGAAAGGCGTCTAGCTAGTTTTGCAAAAAAGGAAGAACAAGAGGAACTGAATTTTGGTGTCCGTTATAGAAAGGTGAATAAATATTACAGGGTTTGACCATACATATAAGAGAGCGGCAAATGATTACCATAGATCGCTCTTTCCCAGTTCTTTTTCTCATTGGAGGGAAAGAGAAGGTAAGGAGATAAGAGAATCCCTGGGTGCGTGGTTATCACATGACTTAATTTTTGGAGTATTTTATCCCCATTGGTACCATTCGAATTGTATGGAAAGAATGTGCTGCCGCTCGATAAGAATAGGTGAACACAGCCCAAACATAAAAGAAAGATCGATCGTAATTTATTCACAAGCCATAGTGTAAGCCGATATTATGACGTCCCAAGGTAGAGTGGGAATATTTTCACTATATCCGGGGTACGTTTATCCGTGATTACCGCTGTTGAAGACGTGTATAGTACTATCCACTGGTAGCGATTTATCTGGTGGACAGGACTACCATGTAAATGAATTCAACTTTGGAAGAACCAGGGCCTGTTCCATACAATTTATTCAAAGAGGGGAGAAAGAACGGTCACTCGTTATAACGGTGTGTTCGCAGGAGCCCTTATTTCGTCACGGTTCGTCACGAGCGTCATATGGGGATTTCGTCGTACTGGGGCGTGCGTCCAACCAGTGACATATATAGCCATTCCTCAGCACTGGAGGTAGCCTACCACGCAGACGTTCTTAGGGGTTTTGTGATTGGGCGACGAGGCAAAAGAACGCCTGCAGGGAGGCTACACTGGATGAAGATCTGTTAGATTTTCTAGTAAACTGTGAGGTCACCACCAACCAAACCACAGCTTAAAAGGAATAGGAGGGTAGTAGGAGGCAGCATGCCGAGCGATTGAAGCGCTGGAATATTAATCTGGGTCCCTGATTTCAACTCCTCGCTCACGCTTGACAACAGCAAACTAGTTTACCCCCGGCCAGTAGAGATTCTTAACTCTTTCGCCCACGATAAAAACTACTAGCTTAACAGTAAGTGTGTTATCCCTTCAATGTGAGGATTTTTTGGAGGTATGATAGAGCAATCAAGACATGATCTAATCTATTGTAGGCCTATGATTCGACCTAGTATGCCAGAACAGTGAAGTTATGGGACAGTCATAAAAGCTACTACAATCATTGTATCTTCTGGTTTTATTTTTATTTTAATCTTAACAGGACAGTAGCTGTGACTTATTTTGAGCCCGCTCATGCCAGGAAGGTGTTTCCGTGTTTTGACGAGCCCCTTTTTAAAGCGTCCTTCAACATCTCTATAATTCATGACCCTGAGCCGTATTACGCCCTGTCCAATATGCCGCGGGTCCGGTGCGTCGTTAGGGAAGATGGACTTGTGGAAACACATTTCGCCCCCAGTGTCAACATGAGCTCGTATCTTGTGGCGTTCGCAGTAGTAAACTTCAAATACAAAGAAAGCAAGACTGACTCTGGAGTTTTGGTAAGTTGTCTTGTGGCGAGCAAAGTGTTTATTTGGCTGGTCTGGCAACAATGGTTGTATTTACAGTAAAGGGCGTATAAGACGTTTAAATGACTCAACTTGACTGCAAGCAAGCTCTTCATTTGAGCGGCGAGCGCCGCAAGTTCTTGAGAGAGAAACCTCGAGCGAGCAGCTAATTAAGAGCAAAGCAAGAGACCAGGGCCTAGAGACCAGATCGATGGCATACCTCATAGAAGTGTTTTATGAATTAGCTGTAGTTCTGCACCAGTGTTTCATATTATGGGACTTTCCATGCTAAAATATTTGAACGCAATAATTTCTTTACGGGCTCCTATATACAACTTAAAAACCCAAAAACGTTTTAAAAGGTTTGGTTCTCATACACTGACTTGTATTTGCTGCCCTTATCAACAGGTTCGCGTCCATGCCCCACCCACCGACTATGGACGTTTGGATTATGCTCTTGAGGTTGCTGTCAAGTTATTGTCTCATTTTGAAAAACTTTTTGGGGAACCTTTCCCCCTTCCTAAACTTGGTGAGTATTCCTTTAAAAGCCAAGCTGTGTCGTTTCGTGCGGAGCATTGAAATCCTGGAGAATCTTGGTATGCTTTGATTTCACTTTTTAGGTGTTTACACAAAATGACTCAAAATTGTTGCCTGTTTCCTTCTCGAACTGAGTACAAACAATGCCAGGAAATACTCTTATCTAGTGCAGTACTTGTAGGTTGAAATCTTGACCTCTCACTTCAGTCAATAACGCATGCCCAGTAAACAATTTCGATTTTCGTACCAGACGTTACTGACCATGATTTCGGGCAATAAATAAAAACGAGATTTTGCATCTCACAGTACAGACCAAAAAAAAAACGCGGTTAATAAGATATTTACAAAAATTAAAATTATTTCAGGTTCCTGATCATGATCTATGTCTCATCTATATATTATCTATATGGATGGTTTGAGTCCGGCACAAAAAACCTTAACACAGTTTTTAGAGACAGTAGGTTAGCACCATAATGAAATTGTTACAGACAAGAGTAATCAATCAGGATATTGTTGTCATCGCCCATGCTTTCAGATCTGCTTGCTGTACCGGATTTCCTTATGGGTGCCATGGAGAACTGGGGACTAGTGTTGTTCAGGCGAGTCCATCTTGTGTATGACGACAGGTTTTCCTCAACTGACACTAAACTTTCCCTGACCAAAGTCATAGCACATGAGCTGGCGCACCAGGTGATAACTGATATTCAGTATCAGTTAGCCTTTACATATAAAGGATAATTTGCTCAGACCTAGCCTACGATCGTAATTGTCTCAATAAATATAGAAATTGCTTGAGAACTTTTTTACGACTTTTTTCCCTCAATGAAATTTAATGTGTTTCGATCATGATCAGTGGTGCAGAGCTCTTTGTGAAACATGCGTGTTTCATACGTCGTTGCGTGGCTGCGTCAACAGTGATTTGACTTAAAGTTGTTTTCGCGTATTCTCAAAAATAGACACTCCGGAAAGCTTCATTGCGCATTTTTTTGTTTCACTAGAAAAGTAAGCACTGCTATGTTTATCGAAGGAGGTTAAGCCCTCTCCCGATTGCATAATGATGAAACCTCTAACATTTGATAACTTGTTTCCACCACTGAAGACGGCCATCACGTTTTCCCGCCAAAATGACGCTGGTTCAAGCGTGAACACCGTGAGCACTACTTGGTACCACTTAGTATTGAGAAAATATCGTACGCGTAATCTTCCTTGTCTTAAGATCTAAAGGTCTCTATTTAAACTGTTAAGAAAGACAGCTCTCAGAGGACCCTCTCTAGCCGTCCTTTTGCTCTTTTTTCTTAGTGGTTTGGTAACCTGGTAACCATGCGATGGTGGAATGACTTGTGGCTAAACGAAGGATTTGCCATGTTTCTGGAAGATGAATTTGGAGTGAAACCTGGATTCAATGGATGGAATACGGTAATGATACCATGATACTGCCATGATACTGTATACACCGTGCTACGTGGTAATGGCAAGACTTTTTCCAAACGCGTACGTCGTGCTAATGCCGTGCTCCCGAATTTGCACGGCAGCATCACAAGCTTTGAAACAGGCCATAGACTGTATCATGTACAGTTGCGTGCTGCAGTTAACTAAAACCAAAACCGACCATGATAAAACAAAATAACCATCATGTTGATGATAATTCATTACTAGGGATTTCAATAAACTTATTGCAAAAGACGCGAACGACTTCGTAAATGCTAAAAACCATGTCAGAAAGAAACTTTGGTTCGCAGGGTACGTAATGTTATACACTTGAGAATGTTTTTTGGTCGAATTTGAATTATGAACGCAAGCCTTGGGCATGGCCTTGGACCATAAAGGAAAAAGGTTTAAAAGACCGTACTGTGTGTTATTTTTCAGCGTGAAAGAGTTGTTGCCACAAGCTGGCTAAATGGGTTACAAGCTGACTCAGCATCGACCTCTCATCCAATCAGTGTACAGGTTCATAGACCTGAAGAGATTGATAACATATTTGACACCATCTCCTATCAGAAGGTAATCAGCAAACATTCTTTCTAATTATACCAAAAGAGGATTATCCTCTCTTGATTATACTTAAGGGTAATATCAAGAGCAGGGGTCAAGAGGATATTTCTGTTCTAGGTCAGTTCCGTGCTAAAGTCATTATTACTTAGTGCTTTCACCCATACAAAAATGTTCCTGTAATGTTATGAAAAACATATCAAACAAATTTCACCAACGAACACTAATAACCATAAAGATGTTTTAGTGAATTTTGCAGGCATACACTCGGTAGCATTAAAACTTGAAAAAGTTTCAATGCACGTTCATCCCTGTCATCCGTAGCAAAAGACGGCAAGAAACAGTTTCAATGCCTAATTATAGTCTTAAATATAGAAAAAAAAACTGGACCATTATGTTTGGGATTCAATTGATGCAAAGATAAGTTGTAGTATTTTAAAAAGAAGACAAATAGCGGGACATAACCCCTTTAAGTCAACCTCAGGGTGACATGCTTATACACTCCTGGCAAAGCGTGTTACTTACTGTTTCCCTTGCCGACATACAAGTCCACCACTAGCACTAGTACTGTAATCTGCTTTTTGTAGTTAGTACTGAAGTAAGTAGAAAAGATCAAGTGTAGTATTTCGTCTAGGTGAGCGTAGTCCTGAAGAGCACTTTAAAGACAGTGTCTATTGTTTTCATTACATTATACCATAATCTTGATCGTGACTTGACCGGTAATAAAGTAGCGATGTTATTGACCTATGCGTTAAGCCGGAATGTTATTGGCTAATATTGACGCACTTTACGAGACGTTGCCGAAGTTGTTTCTGACACGATGTTCTATTGTAATGCTTTCTAGGCAGCCATGATTTTAAGAATGCTCAAGAACTTTCTCGGCGAAGTAAGATTCATGAATGGAATCAAGGTAAGAGTAAGATCATAATAGACAGACTCCGAAGGTGCTCGAAACAGTCTAATCTTTGTTGCTTGTGGCAGTTTATGACAAGAAAACTGAAATCCTGGAAAATCGTCAGATGAGCTGTTTAAAAGTACAGGCGTATAAATCAATGAGTAATCGATGGTGATTCTATGTGAGAACGTCGAGTAATCAATAGCATCAATGAAACTAGGTGACATTTTTGGTCATCGATTAGTCATCGATCACCCATTGATCATCGCACAATAATTAGTGACTAGTCCGTTTACTACTCTTGACTATGATTAACGATCGATTACTCATTGATGTCACTGATCATCAATTAGTTACGTCTGGCAATCTGGGATGCTAAGTTGTTGAAGTGGTTTATTTTATTTTCGCAGCGCTACATACAGGTTCATAAATATAGAAACGCAAATGCAGAAGAATTATGGGATGCCATTGGCGAGGTAATTATTTCTTAAAAACCCGCTTTTACTCGCGAGTATCGTTAAGACCGGCACAACGCACGCACATAGTCAACGACCATTCAGGGGCTAAGAAAGAAAAAACGAAGCATTGCGAGCAAGCTACAGTTTATAGCTTTGATTTTACTCCTGATCCTGATTATTGAAACTGAGTAAAAAGAGATTTCCACCAGGGCAAGTGGTTTTTTTGGTGTTTATTCATTGGAGCGTATTGATCAATCCATGCAGAGAGTAGCACCACTATGATTCCCATTTAAACCGAAGAAATGGAGGGCTGTATAATGGTTAAATTTTTACGGTTAGAGATTTGCTAACAGTCCTGACACATGCACTACGCTGTGTTCTTATATACAGATAGCGTTAAACACTGACAAGTCGTCTTGTAATGTTTGTAGGCAAATGGGAATATGAATGTCAGGGAAATGATGAAAGTTTGGACAGACCAGAAAGGCTTTCCGATTGTCAGTATTAGAAAGCGAGGAAACTCATTTGTAATCGAGCAGGAGGATTTTCTGGATAAAATCAGACTGAAACGGGACAAAGAGAAAAATCCAGCTCTTCGGTAATCATAAGTAAACTAAAAGGGTTTATAGTCTGTTTTTTTTGTTGTCGTTTTGGTTTGTTTATTTGTTTAGGGTTTTAGTTTCTTTTCAGATCCCGGTAAGTAAGATTAGTCATTCTGGTTCTTTGAAAAAGGTTATTTTGCGTTCTCAAAGCATAAAAACGACAAATTAAGGGCTGACGCCCAGTTCATAATTGATTCTATATGGGATTAGGACAAATAAATACCTTGAAAGCCCAATAGTGGATTAAAAGCACCTGCACCATATACTCTACCCATTCCTTATCGAGTCCCGCCAATAGTAAATTTTCTGGCGGGCGAGCGATCGGTTTTAGATCGAGCACGCAGTGAAGGGAGGAGGAGGCAGTCTCCTTGGCAGCTGTACAGGCAACACGACTCTGGAAGAAACTGCGTACGTTTGAGTAGGGGTGAGGGGGAAAAACTCGACCGTCTCCCCTGCCCCCACTCCCTTCTTTGGCTCCTGTGTCTCGTGCACCACAATTGCTCGCACGTCCCCCCTTCCCTCCCCAGAAAACGCCTGTTTCTGACTGTTTACATCTATAGTAACGTCTAGTTAGGGAACTACTTTCTTCATCTTTAATCATCCAGTTTTGTTCACGCTTTGCGCTTCATATTGATCATAATTATGATAATTCATGACAATTCATAGTATGCCAGATGCTCTGTAGCTAGGTTCTTTTTTCGGTTTGAGGCAGTCGTGGCACTTTTCTAGGCAAATTTTTTTTTCTGGCTGCCATTTTTTCCCTTTTTTCATTCCTTTGTAATTCGGGGGACACAACATATTTATTGTACCAAGCTCATGCTTACTGTAGCCTATAACAATAATCCAATCATAAATAATATACCTGATAAAATACACAACAAAACTTATTATAATAAGTAATGTTTTGAATCAAAATGTCAACAAGACAAAATGAGCAAGGTTCGCAACATTCGCTATAACGGCTATGTTAGACGGGAAGATTCCTTGTGACAAATATTTCGAATGTTTTAAAATATGAACAAACTAAAAATCTTCTTAACTCTCTCTCAACCTCAGGTGCGTGCTCTAAGAATTTTCTTAAAAAGGTTTTTTACAATGAAAAGTACTGTATTCTGCTACTTTTCATCGACGCGCATTACCTATCAAATTTCCTAACCATTCTTGTCTCGTCAGTCGCTAAAAAAACTGGCCGTTGTCGAGAGGTTATTTTGGCAGACGCGCTTTAGTGGCCGTTGCCGTTCGAGATAGGTTTCAGCAAGAGTCAAAGTACTGATCGTGTCCAGCGGGACAAAAAAGTGGCCGTTGTAGAGGGGGGGGGCCGTTGTGGAGAGGTGGCGGTTGGTGGAGGTTCGACTGTACCTCTATAAAGTTTGTGACTAAACGTTTTTACAAAAATTCTACCGAGTTAAACTTAATGAAATTTCTCGTGAAATCGCAAATCGTAATCTCGTGAGAAAGATCTACACTGAACTTAGGTCGCACTATTGTAGTCAACATTCTCGGAAATCGAGAATAGTTGGCAACCATTCTTAGAATGTGGACAACGTCAAAACATGTCAAAGTAACACGTTATTATTGGTTGATACCAAACCCTGAATATAATATCATGTCCTGGATCATCGGGCTGTATTGAAGTGTGCCCTCAGTAGCTGACTGCCTTCCTCATTTCATTCTTGACAATGGATATAAAGACCTTGCTAGATAATCTTCATGAAGAATTGTCTTGTTCTTTATGTAAGTGTACGCTCACTAAACCAAAGCAGCTGCCTTGCTCGCACAACTTTTGCCTTCCCTGCTTAAACGGGGTTCAACGAGCTCGTCTGAACATTGAACCAACAGTGATTGCGTGCCCTGAATGTCGGCGGAAATTCAGAGTCCCTGAAAATGGAAACCTCGGTGCTTTGCCTACAAACTTTCGTATCAGCAGCCTGCTCGACGTTTTGGCCAGGAAGGAGTGTCATGCGACCGGTGCTAAGTGTGGAAATTGCGACAAAAAGAGTGTATTCAGTTCTTATTGTTTCCAGTGCCATGAATTTTGGTGCGACGACTGCATCATTTTTCATAACGGCATCAAATCTAATAAAGAACACCATGCACTGGCACTGAAAGACTTTGAAAATTACGACTTTGAGATCAAAAAACGGTCAGCGTTTTGCGGAAACCCAGGTCATGTAAAGAAGGAATTTTGCCAGAGTTGCGAAGTTTTCGTTTGCTATTCGTGCATCGCAGCGCTTCACAACGGTGGTTCCGTGCAGATGCTTCCTCTGGACGAAATTGAAAATGATCACAACTTACATCTTAAAGCTGTTATTAAATCTCAGAATCAAAGAGTGCGTCAAAAGAGGGAAAGACTTGAAGAAATTCAGGCTAAATGTGCAAACATTCAAACCCAGGTAGACAACGTTAAAATGGGTGCACAGAATTTTGTTGACAGCATGATCGCCATTCTTAAGGCTAAAAAGCAGAAATTGTTCATTGACGTGGAAAAGAAAGCAAAAGAATCTCTACACCTCCTAAGCACCCAACAAAGCGAGATTGAAAGTCAAGTAAGAGTGATTAAGACGGCAGTCCAGAAAACTGAACAACTTTTAAAAAGAAGAACAAATGCCGAGATCGCAAAATTTGGCACCGACAAAATCTTCCAAGGACTAGACTACAGTGATGGAGAAGAAGTCAACTGTGACCTTGAAAATATTTATCACATTGTTTTTATACAAAACGAAATGCTAATGGAAAAAGTAGACTTCGGAGGGATTGGATCATTCAGAAGTATCCTAAGCAACACTGTAGCGCAACAATCTAGTGCCGAGGGTGAAGGAATCAAAGAAGCAATTGTTGGGCTTGAAGCACAGATTGTTGTGACAACAAGAACTGCCGAAGGAGTTCAGAGTTATGAAGAGCATGACTTTGTAAAATTAGAAATTAGAAATCGGCAAGGAAATGCTTGTGCCACGAAAATACAAGTCGCGGACAACGGCTATGGTACTTTTGAGATCAGTTACTTTGCCAGAGAAACTGGGATATTCGAGGCATCAGTGAAAGTGAATGGAGACCATGTTCTTGGCAGCCCTTTTAAGGTTCAAGTCAGAGCCAGGCACTTCAAACATGTATCAAGTTTTGGTCTACCAGGACTGTCCTTGGGAAGATGCAATTTTCCCTGGGGGTTTGCAGTGAATGGACGAAATGAACTAGTAGTGACTCATAGGCTAACTCATAGGGTGCAGATTTTCCTTAGTGATGGGTCCTGTTTGAGAGCTTTTGGAAGCAAGGGAGATCAAGAGGGACAATTTAATGAACCTACCGGGGTTGCTTTTCATAATGATAAGATTTTAGTAGCCGATTGTAATAACCACCGAGTTCAAGTCTTTAGCGCTCAGGGTAAATTTCTCTGCCAGTTTGGAGGCGAAGGTGATCTTAATGACCAGCTTAACCTTCCTCTGGGTTTATCAGTAAACTGTGAAGGTAATCTTATTATTGCTGATGCTCGTAACAAATCAGTTAAGGTATTTTCTACTAGTGGTCGGTTTTTACGGAAAATTGGAACAGCACACTCGTTCACCTTTCCCTTCCATTGTATTCAACATGATAACCATCTTGTAGTGTCAGACTTTGGTGAAAATTGTGTTAAAGTTTTTGATCGGGCGGGAAAGTTCATGTACAAATTTGGCAAGCCGGGGAAGAAAGACGGGGAGTTCAATGGACCCACTTGCCTATCAGTGAGTAAAGCGGGACAACTCATTGTCTGTGATTCACAAAACTTCAGAGTGCAGATTTTCGAAATGAGTGGAAAGTTTGTAGCTACTTTTGGATGCCATGGTAACAGGGAGGGAATGTTTAATGTACCAGTTTCTGCAGCAGTCCTTAGCGATGGTAAGATAGCTGTGTCTGACTTCTTCAACCACCGTGTCCAGATATTTGAGTGAGGGCAAACAAATTTCAAGTGTTAATAAAATAACTTGCCATTAATATTTTGGTAGAATATGCAAACTATTTACAGTGATTTTAAGGTTTTTTAGTTGTGGTAGTAAAACGTAGCTAAACGTGATTACAGCTATATTAAAGAACAAACTGCTTAGGATTTTCTTAGGATAGTTAACTTAACAGTTCAAGAGAGAAACTTGGATTTTCAACAAGAATCAATTACCGGTAATATTTTTGCAATTTTACCAGCAACTGAAATCATAGACATTGACTGGCTATCTGTAAATTAATTGTTAATGTTAGCTAAATGTTTTTGAACAGTAAGTGCCAGTTTGTGTGTAAATAAATTAGAAAGTTCCAGTGTTTTGGTGAAAATGCACCCTGAGGAATTCATTTGGGGTATGGATCGAGGTTTCTTCGAACAATTGCCAAGCACTTTTTTTCCTCAAGAAAACATGCTTGGCATAATTTACCTTTTTCTGTCAATAGTATCTACGCTTTTATTGTCAAAAGCATAACTTTGCTTTTGCTGTTTATGTTCATGAAGACCGTTAAGAAACTGCAACTTTCCAAGCTCTCCACATAAATGCTGCTGGCTCTCCGCTACGGTTGGAATTAGGAAGAAGGCCTACCAGGTCATCGGCTTAATTTCAGAGCGCGTACCCTTTTCTTGCTTAAAATCAAATTAAGACGGCGACAGCTACTCCATCGTCACAAAATAACTTGTTTGCAGGTCATAGAATAGGGAACCCAGGCTTCCTTAGAAGTCCTGTTGGTTGCAGAATATATTAAGGATTTGTATGGAAGTTTAAATTCGCTGGTCTTAAAAAGAGGATAAATTAAAAAGACATGAAAAGTAACTCGATTAAAGTTCATCTACCTTAGGAAATATTGTTTATGCGACAATTCTTGGCTACGTACCTTGCAGCGTTGAGATGTATGGGTTGCACCGTTTTGACTACTACTAGTCAGAAACAGAGAGGATCGAAATAGCAAATCACGACCGACCGTCGTGGTACATCCACGCAAATATAATGGTATTGCCGGAGTAACTAGTCGGTCTAATAACCTGGCCCCAGTTGTTCGAAAGCTGGATAACACTATCCACCGGATAAATTTCTATCCGGTACGGGATAACGCAATTGGTTTCCCTAATATTTATCCGCTGGATACTACAGCGCTATCCAACATTTGAACAACCAGGTTCTTCAGGCCCCGGTGTTCACACTAGCATGCAGTAAGTAGTAAAAAAGACGCGATTTACATCTCAAGTGACTACATGGTAAGATAACTTGATAATTCTCTTTATTATAGACCTCTCCTTCATTCCTGTGAAGAAAGGCGCTGATTCGAGGCTAGAGTGGACAAAATTCAGTGACTTGAATGAAATTGTGCACCCGAGCCTTCATCTGATTCCATTGTGTTAGTTTCTTACTGGAGCGGAATGCGGGAAGGTCTATTGTATCTATTTACTGTCTTTTTATTAACATACTTGGGCTGTATCTTCCTAGGAAGAGGTGGTTTGTTCCTCTGTCGTACATTACCAAGTCTCATCAGAAACCACGTTGGGTCTCAATACATCCCAACGAAAGTAAGTTTTCTGTAAATGCTTACTTAAAATAGATGGATGAAATTCCTTCATAAGTTGCAGATAATATAATTATAATAATCTTAATGCTATTGTCAGGTGCGCAAAATGAATGCGCAAAACCAAAATGTGTCACACAGTCGAACATCTCTAATGCGGACACCGAAGGGACAGAGCAAAGTGTCCGTACTGGAGAGGTCACCATGATGACGTCACTTTAAGACCCCACTGACAGGTTAGAGTGTTCATTCATTGAATGGACAATGAAACGGTCTGAATTACGCCTTTCGTTTCTAATTGTCGATTGGTACAGTTTATAGAGCAGCACTGACTACAGAAATACGTATTGAATTGGCTATTGCTACAGCATTTTCGATTACTGTATTTGCAATTATAAATGTAAGTTTTGAAAACTAACATTTTGATATGTTCTGGTATTGGTGCTGCTGACTGATAAAGTGTCAAATGTTTGAGTAACCACCTACCGGAAATGGTACATACCGCAAATTATCGACACCTGGTCCCCGGAGTGTCCGTAATAAAGACGTTAAGTTTGTATGAATTTGCTCCCAAGGGCTGAGATTTAGCGACCGTTGTCCGTATTAGAGAGGGTCCGTATTATAGAGGTTATTGTAAGAGGAAATGTATGAGAATTTTGTCGGTACTTAGGAAACTGTCCGTATTGGAGAGGTGTCCGTCTGAGAGACTTGTCCGTATGGAAAGGTGTCCTTATGGAGAGGTGTCCGTATGGAGAGGTGTCCGTATGAAGGGGTGTCCTTATGGAGAGATGTCCGTATGGAGAGGTGGCCGTCCTAGAGAGGTGTCCGTATGGAGAGGTGTCCGTATTGGAGAGGTGTCCGTATTAGAGAGGTGTCCGCATGGAGAGGTGTCCGTATTAGAGACGTGTCCATATGGAGAGGTTCGACTGTACCGTCCTTGAAAGTTATTTGAGTTCATGGGGTTCTATTGAACCTTACGCTTTTAAAACAAGCTTAATTAATTTGTGGATTCTTTGATTGAACAGAATACCACTCTCTAAAAGATTCTTCCACTAATTCCTGGATCATGGCAAATATCAACGTAACTGGATTCTTTTTGGTTAATTATGATGAGGAAAACTGGTACAAACTTGCCATGCAGCTCGAGGAGGATCACCAGGTTACAATTGCGCTTTTTATCGGTAGATAAATCATGAGCGGGAGATTTGCGTGGGTGATTACAGTGATGAACAGAGAGCGAGCCAATGTAAAGCCCATACAGATCGGACACAAATATTTTATCGTACTTGTGAAATGGTAAAATCATTAAAGATCTGTATTAAAGGCTAAACGAACACTAATTAGCTGAGCAGGAATCTGAATCGAAAGTTAATTCTACTTGTTAATATTTCATCAACCCAGGTGATTAGTATTGGGGTTTACAGGGGTGGTGTACATGTGATTCAATTACTTCATGTACCTATTGATTGGTCATATTAAACTTTGATGAATGGTTAGTGAATTGCAGTTGAGACCATTTGAGGAAGTTTAGAACGCGGGCGTGAGCATGCTGAGAAATTGTCTAAATTGCGAAAAGTTCTGTTTCTATCAAACGTCAATTTAGGCGAGAAAATACAAATCACACGAAGGTCCGGCACACGTCCGAAGATAACCTGAAACGTCCAGACGTCCGAATATTACTTAATAATATTTCTTCGGTTAAGTGAGCATTTTACCTGCTTTTTATCTAACCTTTTTAGTTAATTTATAGATTTTCAGCCCGTCTGACAGAGCTGTCTTAATCCACGACGTTTTCACTCTTTCTTGGTAAGTCGACAGGTTATTTTATTAACCGATTCGGGACCGGATCAAAGGCCGGTATTTATTGTGGTGCTTATTTTCCCGTGCTGGCTCATATCTGCTGTAATGATACTCTGACAAAAATAGGTTCGTTATCAAAAACAAACGGCCTTAAAACCACGTCCCCACCACCACCGACTGGGCATTATCGCGGTACATTTACTCCTACGTAGGTGTGAGTAAAACGCCTGAGTGCTTTTTGAAAAAGAAGGGATGTGATGACAGAGATTCTCTCAAAACCGCTGACAGAAAGCCCCTTTTTCTTTGTTTATTATTATCATCATCATCATTATTTATTTATTTACTTATTTATTCCTTTCAGTCAAGGCCTGTTGGATCCCATCCTTGCCTTGAACCTTTCCCGGTATCTTGTTAAAGAGTTACACCCAGTCCCCTGGGCCGTGGCTAGAAGATCAGCCAAGTGTCTTTGGGGTGTGTTCAGTAAACCTCATAAGCTACTGTACAAGGTACAACGACTATCGTAAGGTTTCAATTTTTATGGTGATACAGTTTTAACGTCTTTATTTAAAGTCTTTTCCTGCCTAGATTAGCCTTATAGCTCCCGGATTTGTAGTAAATAAAGTATTGTAAAGTAACGTTTATATTTCTTTAAATAAAATACATTGTTGTTGATGTCGTTGTTGTTTTAGATAGGTTAAGATTTACCGTAAGCCTTTTTCTTAAATATTCCTTTTGTTACAACGTTTCGTTTCCAAGGCTCCAAGAAAGCTTAAAAACGTGAAGTATACCTGCCTCATACCCCGATTTCGGAGGATTAAGAGCAACCCATGAGAAAACGAGTTTTCGAAGAACGCAAGGTACCTTGGTGGCAACTCGGGCTCTTTTCGTTATCATTTTACTTTCGTATATAGGCGCCTGGGTAGTGAAGCAGGAAATCCACAGGGACTAAGGCTTGACTGATGTTTAACCTGCCTAGATGACGGTTTTGTTGGGGAGCGAACGCTCTAATGAGCGCAGCGGCCACAAAGGGGGAACGATGACACTCTGCTCGTTCACCAACAAAACCGCCAGTTACGCAGGGTAATACAAGCGTGCCCTCCGCTGCTGCTGCTGCTGCTGTACGTGTCTTTAGACCTGACTCGTCTCTCCAGTTGTCTCTGAAATTTGTAAGCGGTCGCAGAACGGTCGCGGAAGTCTATTCGGAGAAGGCAACCATGGGAAGGAGTGCATGCTGAAGGGAAAGGAAGAGACTCCCCTTTCCCCCCTTCTTATCTCCCCAGGCCATGCGCGTCTCTGCCATGCGCTTCCCTCGAAGCAGACAAAATAAAAACGACAGGAAATGCACCAGTTTTGAGACATTGATGCTAACAGTGCTTCAGAAAGATGAGTCTCTAATCTTAAAAATTGTTTCTTAAAAGAGTTCAAATACAACTTAGCCCCGAGTGTTTGGAAGATTTTAGTAGCCTTAACTTTGTGTAGTTAAAAAAATTTAAAGCGGGCCCTCCGCTTAATGGTATCTCACTTACTAACGGAGCGTTTCTGAAAAGAGTTTTTAAAAGAAATTCCTCTCATCTAACTGAACACAATTTGCTTCCATGCAGAAATTCTTTTGGCAGCTGCAAGACCATCTCATTGATTTTCTTGGCATTGAAGACACAGGGAACGATCAGGAAAGGTGAGTAGATATCAATTGGCTGAAGCTGTTTCAGCCACCGTAGTCGGGCCTGTGACTCGGCGTTTAAATAAAGACTCTCAATTTAAAAGTTCCTGCAGGGGTGAATTGTTTCATGAATGGAATTAACAAGGTTGTTTAGTTGTTTTTTGTTGCTCTATTTGCCCTTTTGATTTGTTTCTCGTCGTTTACCAAATTATATTTACAAGGCTATTTTGTTTTCTAAGCCTTATTTATAATTCAGATTTCAAAACCTCGTCTCCTGGAAAATATATCTGCAGTGCTTCTGGTTAGTTAGCCAGGAAAAGCGTGGATGGTACGAGGTATGGTTTAGTTAATACCAGAATTAGGAAGATTTAAAACTTATCGAAAGTCATCTTTTTTCAGGTCATTTAGATACGACGTTTTATCCGAAGCTATGAGAAGTGGCCAAAGAAAGGACATCCAGCAAATTTTCACTCGCTTGTTTAGCAAACTAAAGAAACAGCCTCTTGGAAGGTACGTGTCAATAATCTTACATCCACACCAGCTGGAACTATAAACTGAAAACGACTACGGGTAGAGAAATGTTAGCTTTTGCTTGAGCCCGAGGGGCGGGAGGGGGGGCGGGCTCAGTAAAGTTTTTTAACCTTTAAAATTTTATACACGATTTTTTACTAAAAAGGTACCCCTATCGTATACCATGCATTAACAAAAGTAGTAAGAGTAAATGTCTAAAGTAGGAATTCTATTAGTCATTTTCGTGTAACGTTTAATAAATTAAACAGATATGGCGTATCTTTACGAAAAAATTTCTAATTAGAGGCCCTTGTAAATACCTAAACTAAAAGATTTCCCTACCCTTTCAAATACTTCTACTAATGAATTTCTTACCCTATGACAACCCTGAAGCCTGAAAAGGGGCCCTTTCAGGCGGAGCCTCCGCTTTTAGGCCATTATAGGAAGTGCTCTCCCCCCCCGCCAAGGATCAAGAGTAGATTAGGACTTGTTGGCATGCTGGCGGGCAGATATAAGATAGCCAAGTAGTAACAACAACAACAACAACAACAACAACAACAACAACAGGTCTCAGTATTGTTGTACACTTTTTCATCTGTACATTTCCGTGAAAGGGCTGTGATATTTACTCCCTCTTTCCAGTTTAAAGAGCGTCGGTGCCAACTTCCGGTATTTGGCTTTCTCATTCGGTGTCAATAAATCAAGCGAGGAAGACTGGGACTACCTTTGGTCGGTTTACCAAAAGTCTCCTTTTGATGCTGACCGGAAGTACTTGATGAACGTTATTACGTCATTCGGCTCTAACTGCAAAACAGCAAGGTAATGTTAGCAAATACTTCATAGAGAGTGGCCGAGTGGAGGAGCGTTAAAATAGAGAACCAGCTTATATGACCTGAGATAAAGGAATCACTGTGAAAGCTTGGAAGGACTTAAAATTATTTTAGGTTCGAAATTCCCTCCAAAGACTGTTTGCAACAAGAATAGCTTTTAGTTCTATGGATAATATGCACTCATCAATAAACGATATTTTAACAGATACATGTATTGAGTGATTTGACCGTTTTATTCCAACTTTTGGCTTAGTCGACTAGCCATTGGTTTGTCAAACTAACGCATTAGAATAGTTCTTCGTAGGCTAAAAGAGTTTTATCTGTCAAATACGAAAGGTGGAAAATTGTATGTGGAAACTCTTTTCTCTTCTATAGGAATCTGCTTTTCAGTTTAGATGAAAGCAAAGTGCGACCCCAAGACAGCCTTTACTGGATTGAGCAGGTCAAGCTAGGACGGGGAAAGACAGAAACAGTGTGGAATTTTATTGAGAAACATTGGAAAATACTTGCAAGAAGAAGGTGACCAATAAAGCTTGTATTCATTTAGCAATAATCCGTACTTGTTCTCGAGAACATGCCTTTGGCCGATTCTCCTTCCTGAAACTCCTGAATATTTACCTCTGTTCACCACGCTCCCAGTTATTCACTTCCGCTACGGTCTGAATACCCACCTATTCACACCGCACTTAAGTGTGACACAGCACCTCTCCGACATGTGACGCTCCACTTTAGAAATCGGCGCTGGGCAGCTTCGCTCCGTTACAGCAGAAATCAAGCCGAAATCACCGTTCTATGCGGAACAGAAGCCCTATCCCGGGTATGGTTTTCGTGCCGACGCAAAAGCTAATCCTGTATAGTATGAACACAACAACAGCAATATTAGCCTCCCCGCAGACGTCCTTTGGGGTTCGTTTGTCACGCATTCATTTCTGACGAACGAACCCCAAAGGACGTCTGCGGGGAGGCTATAGCAATATCGGTAAAAGTTCTATTGCGTTGCCCCCAGTTTATTTGTTTTAATTGTTCACAATGGTACGGTTACTCGATTTGTAGTTTGGATCTATCACAAGTACAACAGCACCTGGTAAAACACGAGTGTTCACTTTATACAACTAATGGGTACCATTCTAAAAGATGTGTATATTGAGAACAGTTTTTGTTTCTCATATTAGATATGGTGGAAGCTATAAGCTTGGAAACCTCGTCAAAGTAGTGGCAGGAAGCTTTCAAAACTCACACCAGCTCAATATGGCAAGTACATTTTATATACTTTTGATTTTCGTGTAAGGCTCTGAGCCACCATACATTACAGAAGACGTCACAAGTGCAACTTTACAAACAATTTCTTTATAACCGTAATCTAGTTTTGATTCAGCAAAGCAGCATGGTTGAGCAGAGCGCTGAAATTGTAATCTGGAGCCCCGAGTATAATCCCCGTTTGAGTAGACTGCAAAACAGTCGGTCTTTTTCTCAAAATCAGTAAAGAATTAAATCGGTAAAGCGTGGCGCCAGAGTCTTACGCGCGCGAAGCGTGCGAGCCTTACACGCCCATAGGTCGTGTTAGGCGTTTATGTTAGGCGCGTTTAGCGTCTCTCCCCAGTCTCGCTCCAGACCTTTTGTTTGACTGCTCACGCGTATTTAAATACGCAAAAATACGGACTGTTTTGCAGTCTACCGTTTGAGCTGCTAGCCGGATTTGTTCTCGGTAGTCCTAAGTTTAGGGTCTTTCTGCAGGTACCGTCATCACAAAAGAAACAAAGGAGCCAATTGGGTTGTATTGGTTGTATTGTTTCTTTTGTTGTAATTAATCAGGGGCACCTTACGAGAATATAGTTCAAAACCACCAGACATAGCATTGTTAAACGTATTTTAGTATTTAAACGGCAGATATAGGCATATTTTTATCCCCTAAAAATTCTTCATCTGTTCGGATTTCCTAGCTGAAAGTCTAGGGATCAGAAAATTACAGGGATCAGAACTTACCTTTTTGAAAATTTCAGCCCGGAAAGAGGCTCCCGAAAATTCTAGGTGACCTTTTTAGGGTAAAAATCCGTTAAAAATGGGCAATTATACCATTTTTTAGATGTTCGAAAATCCTATGAGAGGCTGGCAAGCAAATTTTACAACAAATGTTCCGAAAATTATAGATCTCAAATCGTCTTCCGAACAGATATTTCCCGAAAATTGACGTTGGGTGCCCCTGATTAATCTGTGCCTCGGTACCTACAGAAGGTCTAACCAGAGTTTAACTCCTCGTTCACGCTTGTAAATAGCCAACTAGTTTGCCTCCTGCCAGGAGCCCATCAAAATTTGGAGCCCCCATCTCCCATACAAGCCCTTGGAGTCAACCCTTTCCCGAGTAGATTTATAATTAGAACGGTTCCCAGGGGAGACTTCGCGCGCCGACGGTGGGAAGAGCCAATCACAACGACTAAATGACACTGCTATTGTACTTCATGAAAGAGCAGGAAATCCGGTGCTGACAGGCCAAACAAAGTCATAAGCTGGTGAAACGTGACTTTAGCGTTTTCATCCCTCAGAGATTTTCTTTCTTTTCTCCTGCTCCTGCCGAATTGGGATCCTTAACCTTGCGTGTCACAATGGAAACTACTCTTTACCAGTAATTATGTTACACTTATATAGACCGTTTTTTTATTTGATTCATTTTAGTACTAGCTGAGTGAAAAATGCTGAAAAATTATGAAAGCAAGTAGATATTCATCAAAGCGCGCTTCTTTATTTTTGGTAGGTTAAGAGTACTTTCAAGTCTTTTTCTACCGGTGAAGTCGCTGTAAGAGCGCAAAAACAAACCCTGGAAAAAATACGCCGAAATATTGCTGGTAAACCAGCGCTTCTAAAGACCAGCGAGATGCGAATGGTACGGTGGTTGAAGGAGTACAAAGGAACCGGAAACTAAGGACAGGTTTTAATGGCCAGGTCAGCCTGGAAGAGTCTGATGTTCACTGTATAATGTTCGGGTCTGGTCGTAAGTGAGATAAACAAGCAAGGCATGTTTGTCTAGCAGTGGATGTGTTTCAATGCGGGGCACGAAGTCATGTCTTGCATTGTAGTTGCGGAGTTTTCTCATTGCGCACGAGAGATACTAAAAATACTTGACTGGTGACGTCACATCTGCTCTGGCCAAGTACGAATGGGAACGAGGCTGGGTCTCCTGGTCATGTTTTTGAATCACAAACTTGAAGGAGTAATTGGAAAGAGTCAACAGAACCGGCCTGCAGAGAGGCATCCTTATGTCCCCCCGTTAGCCTCACTTTTACTAGGAACTTTTTCTACCCTTCTTCTGCTTTTCATATTCGAAGATGGCAGTTTAAGTATGAAAATTATTAGGATTAAGACAAAAAGCAAGCGAAATCATAGAATAATTTCACGAGTACACCATTTGATTACCTTTTAATATCATTGGTGACGAATTACGATTGCAATCGTGGATTTTTGAGGTGTTTATCATGGTTTTATCGCATTGATCAGAGAACTCCACACTCCAAAGTTTGCAGCTTAAATTTAGCTTTAGTTCAGAATTTTCAGAATGTCTCGACAAAATACCTGTTAGAATCCTTCTTGATGTGCTCTTTAGCGTGTTTAGGTTCTTTCAATTCTATTAAAAAATGACAACAAATTGCCTGAAGCTTTGTTGGTAAATTGGAGCAAGTTAGCACATATATTTTGTGGAAATTCAAAACTACAAACATTAGAAATCAAAATATAGATCAAGTGAGACCTTTGAGTGCTAAAATTAAAAATTAAAATTCAATTCCGAGCTTTCTCTGATCAAAGGCATCATCAGAGAAAAGAAAACTATTCCGCACGGTTAAAATTGGTGTAAGCCAAATGTGTGAAAAGCGCAAGAATGGGGCAGGATGTATCAAAGGTATAAAAATATAAACTTGAATAAAATAAGAAGATATAATGAGCGAGTGGCACAGGACATAAGAGTCTCTCGAAAGGCAAAATAATTCATAATGATGGTCTTTAAAACAAAAGGTCCGCAAACTCGATGCATTCCTCATGGGAGTTTAGTGGCTGTCTTCAATGTAAATCGAGCTGCAAAAGGACTCGCTGGTTGACAAAAATCTCTCCAAAGGCAAAAATAACTTCTAAAAAACAAAAGGTCCTCAAATGCTTTGCATTCCTCACGGGAGGGGAGGACCGGCTCAATGTAAATTGAACTGTGAAGAACAGGCTGGTTCTGATAAACGTTTTAAATATCAACCCTATTCCTTGATTATCTACAGCATAAAATTCAATTTACAAAGGAAAAAAGAACACTGAAAACCCTGGTTCTGAGTCAAGAAGTGAACACGCTACCTCAATGTAAATCGAGCTGCCAACAACAAGCTGGTTCTGACAAAAATTGGAGCGTAAAACCCTATTCCTTGATGGGCTGTTGCCTTAAACGCAATTTATAAAGCAAACCAAAGCACTAAATAGCCCTTTCAAATCTAGAAATCGTATTTAAAGCTTGCTCACCTGTTAGGGCCTCTTAAACAGAAAACAAACAGCTGCACACGGCATCACCCAATTTCGAACCACGAGTTGTAAATACAAGATCATGACATCACTACCCAAATATGGGGTCTTACGTACACTCAAATATGGTCAAAAATGCAAATTTTAGAGGGTTATGCAGAATTTGAGAGTTTTTGCCTACATTGCGCGGGATTAAGAGTCAGCCATCGAGGTAGACCGCTCTTCTTAGCTCGATGGCCTTGTTGGCAATAATCTTCTCACTTCGCCAGAGAGTGACTATAAACTGATCAGTGCTATTCTAAGAGAATTGAGAATGAAGGGTTTTAAGCAATATTTTTCAATTGCGCCGTAAGTACCAAACACCAAATAGAATTCTTTTGTGAATTTTCACTCCGAAAATTAAAGCGTTGTGGTAATATATATGTTTTATCAGGAGTGGCAATTTTTATCAGAACGCAAGCTGCGACCTAAGCAAGGAAATTTAAAACAAATCCTAGACAACTAACGTATCCTTTGAAATTTTCCTGTAATACAATAACTGAACTGAGAAATTGTTGAAGGCTCTTGAAGTGAAATGCGGACTTACTTGTATAGAGAGGTATGAGAAAGACCCGCGGAATGCCCATTGCAGCTTTTTCTTAAAGGCATTATAAACAAATGTTCTTTAACTGTACCTGAAAAAACCTCATCTTATCTTATCCATTGTTACTGGTTAAAAGAGAAGCGCCGTTATCCTATCTAAGCTACAGTAAGTTGTTCTGCTTTCAATAAGTCACCCCGAAATGGACTCGGCTGCGTGGTGGGTGTTTGAAAAGGAAGGGGAAGGGGTTTCCAGGAGCACGAGAAGCGCGAAAGGCAGGCGCTCTTGCGCACAAGTTTGCCTCCTCTGCCACACAGGCTAGACTCGGCTAAATTAACAGAGTTAATTAGAAGTAGCAATCAATAAACAAGCAGCAAACCATGTAGCAGGTATTTTTTGATATAAATAAAGAAATTATACTATACCTAATTTTAACAATGGACTTCTTGGACCGCAATTGTGGTGAGAATTGAGTAGAAAAGAGAGAAACGTTGGGATCGCTTAGATCAATGATAAGTAAAAAAGATATAGCATCTATCATTGAACACTGGCTTGCTCACAAAGGTAGCAATAAATATATATATATTATGTATTTTTAGCTCCGTGCATCCAATCGATCTTAGCAATTCGGCCGGCGGCACTTGAAATCGCATACTAAAACTCTTTTTTCAGCGAATCGACGAAATCTTTTTCTCCACAGCAAGAATTGTCTAGTCGATCCAACTAACAAATAAGGTGAAAGCTAATGTTTATGGTTGGGATGGGTAACTGTATTGCTTTCCATAATTAACTACCAACCGAGGTGGAAGCCGAAATTCGCTTTGGAACGTCCTATTATTTTAATTGTTAGGAGACTGTACTTTACACACGGTAAACTAACCTGAGTGAGCATATATTTACTAGAAAGAATAAGCGACCACACATCCAAGACGTCTAATGGTCGCTTAAGGGAGGTGATCCTTTACGAGAGTCGAACCACTCTGCGTCTCTTTAACACGTCAAAAAATGGGACTTCAATTCAAAGAGAATTTACTGCACCCGTGACTGCAAGCAACTTTAAGTCAAAGTACGAGTAGCTCCATTCTGTCGCTAGAGCCTGTCTGAGTTACGTAGTACATACACTGAACATCGAGATTAGGTCACGTGTTAAAGGGGCCCCTATAAAACCGTCACCCTTCGCCTCCAAAACGTAGTCGCTGTCGCCCGGCTTGCAAAAGGTTCCAGCCAAATAGAGCTTTGACTGGGAAAAGTTTGGTGAATAGATGGTTGATCATGGTTAGTCACTTGTGAGAAGAAGTCACTGTCAAGAGGTGGTCGGACGTGGAGGAATGTATAGAATCACTAGTAACTCTTCGTTAAAATGCTTACTTTTATTTTTTCAACCATTACACAGACATGAGGAGTACATTATTGAGCGAACCCGAGTATATCTCTTTAAAGGTGGCTATCTTTAGAGCCTGAGGCTAAAGTCAATTTTTAGATTTTTGGAAATGTATAATTAGACTTTAAAAAGTATATCTTTCAATTTTGAGGTAATATGGATCCCCTAGACAGACAGAAAATGAAAGAAGTTGCAAGGCATTAAGGTAATTGTTTGCAGAATATACACAAACTCAATAGGCGGTATAAAAGTCAACAACTGCTAATGGGCTAAGTGAAAGCCCCCAAGGTTGAATTTTTTGTAGCAGATGGAATATATGAACAGCCTTGAAATCTTCTCATGTATAACCACTTTTATTTTCAAGCAAAAGTGCAATGTATAAAGATTAAAACTTTTCATTCACTGAGTAAGTTTTTACTTTTTAGTCTAAGCCAGGAAAGGCTAAAGTATGGCCATTCAAATTAAAAAGTCCCCTTTTATTCAGGGACATTTGTTTTGAATTTGTTTCAAGTGCCATGATCTAAAATAGAAAATCGTAAAGTCTGGCTTTGCCATGAAAGGGACAAAAATAAATAATTGCTCATTACGTAATCAATTATTCCGTACCGTATCATATCTACCCTTTATTGTGTTATCTTGAGGCAAGTTAAACAAACGTCTGCAAAAATGCCATTAGAAAGCGTCTCACACGAATATCTAGTTATTTCCAAACAGCTAAACAAAGACGACTGGAGCATCTAAGTGACAGTTACTGCATCTAAACCAAGAGAACCTTTCTTGTTTTAAGCTTTTCACTGGCATTTTATCTGTAGCACATTCATGTCCATCTGATTAGCAACAAAGTCAAAAATGGCATCGTTGAGTATTCTTGCAGGATTAAACTGCCCTGAGAGTTTTAGTTTCTCTACTTAAATACGACTCGGCGAAAATCAACAGAAATCATCGCTTCTCTAATGCCTCTTAGATACTGACAGTAAAACCCCGCGACTAAGAACCTGGATTTTTCCATGTTAGCCTAAACAGGTTCTTATAATAAACGGTAGTTAGCACACGTTTAGGCTATGTAGGTTCTTAAATAGGTTCTTAGTTTTCAAAGAAAAGAAATACAATATAGCTCAGTAAGAGTATTTGGTGGTTCAGTTGACGTATCTTATATTTGCCTAAGTATGCAGAAGTTTTTCATAGATTTTAGAAAATAACAACCTGTTTCAAATTTTAGGCTAAACAGGTTCTTAAATAGAGCGGGCTTAGCTGGCAAATTTTACCCTAACAGGTTCTTAAAATCCAGGTTCTTAGTCGCGGGGTTTTACTGTATTTGGGGAATGTGCCATTATGAGAAAAGAATTATATATAACTCAGTAGCTCTTGGCAACTGAATTACTCCCACAAAAAGTATCATGGTTATTTTTTCTTTGCTCTCAAAAGCTGACGGACCAAAAAGTTAAATCCTTTATTTCCCCTCAATTAA